GGAGAAATTATCTGTAAAAAAAAGAAGTATAGGCTAAGTCCTTCCACAGCAGAGAAATTAATATTTTTGAATAAAAATATGTAAAAAAGTGAGACATTGTGGCTTGATTTATTTTATTAATATTCATTTTGCAGGACCAAAATAACATTATGCACGGTGAGGAGCCTATAGGTTGCAAGATTCACATATTAGAAAAGTACAATAATAAAAAACAAACAAATTTTCATGGCTTGTCAAGGTTGTTTCAGATCAACACCTGCAAGTGACCACTAGGTGTCGCCGTGGAGACGGGTGTCGGATTGATTCGAAGCCTCGAAACAAAATGGACCATTTGGTTCAACTGTTTCATTGCTTCACGAAGCCTCGATCTGCCCATCACTAGTAACAAGTAGAACGCGGAAGTAGTTGTGCAAGTAGTGCATAGCCGCGTTTCCACTGCCGGGCCAGGGCTGAAGCCGCCTTTCCACTGCACACGACAAACGACAGCCGTTGGACAGGAAGTCATTAATTTCCAATGGAGAGTCGTACGGGAGCTGCGGGGAGTTCCGATCATATGCGTGTGCGGAAAATTCGTATCCGATTTGAGCTTTGGATCCGTTGAAATATCTGAACTTCTGCGGCTAAACCGTATGCGACCGGTCGACCGGATGTGATGTATTCTAATCAAAACTATGAGCGTGAGGCTAGAATTACCAATATTTCAACTATTTAATGTTATTCTGTAAACGCTATTTCTGTAAAATGTCGGTTATTAATAATTAATGGCAGAAAAAAATATTTTATAATTAGAGCCAGTTGCGTTTCCACTGTCACTTCCGGGGCTTGATCGGGGCTTACTCGGGGCCAACGGCCAAAGCGGGCCAGCTCGGGCTAGAGGCGTGGTCAAGGTAAAAGGCGGAGTTTATCGGTGTTAGGGAACGTTATGATCTGAAGCAAGATGCACATTTCACTTTTTTATATCGCGCAAAATAATCGCTGCTCGAAATGGTGAATCGCCTGTACTGGTCTGTCGAAGATACCAAAGCTTTTCTGAGCATTTGGGCAGAAGAAAGGGTACAACGTCAATTTGACGGCGTGTAAAGAAACGAAGACGTTTTAAAATACATCGATGCTGAACTTTTGTTGCAAATTTAAATACTTTACTAGTTACTTGTAATGCGTTACCCCAACACTGGTCGCTAATGTGTGATGTGTCGCAACTGGCAACGACGTAGTCGAGAGATTGCATTTTTTTAAACAGGCTCAGTGTAACAAAACAAAAGCGTTCTGTGTGATCTGGACCAAATGAATTGTGATTTATATTTTCTTTATTGACTGGTTTCCAAAACAAAGATAAGAATTGGCCCAAAATGTCACTTCCATTAATTTTTGGATGAACACAACCAGAACATCTTCAAATGTCACTATAAACTCATGGCAAGACAGAGAATAAAGATGTCTTGTTTCTCGCCTCGCCAGTTAGGGTTGATTTACGACTTTGTAGTCTGGCAGCTGTCTAAAAGACACTGATCTTTTGTTTTTCCCCACATCATATCTTTCTTTAATATTTAAAATAATAATAATAATAAATTCTTTTTTTTTAAACAGGCTGCACAAATAATTAGATGAAGGACGTGGCCAAATAATTAATTCATTTGCATCAAAAATTAATTAACAGTAAACAGTAAAGTGTTTTAATAAGCCTTTGAATCTGTTCTCAGGTAACTGCTGATACCCCAATTAAACAGCAGCAGCCAGTACTTATCCTAATTTCTCCTTTTTAATTTCCCCGCAGTGTGAATGTGCTGTGGATCATTATTACTCATTCTGATTAAAGGAGCGAGATGTAACTTCAGAAATATTACTCTCGGTTCCCTGCTGTGTTTCTGGGCGAGGGGCTTGTGGAGGTGGGATTATTAGAGACGGAAAATATTTATTCACTGCCCTGGCAACTGGATCAGGCATTAATCTCAATTCAGGGCCATGAATAACTTTCCTCTCCGTGTCTTTTTTGATTGCATAATGTTGACACCCGCGGTCAGTTCGCTGACTAATGCCGGTGTTAAAGCAGGCCCTCTCATTCTGAGGGGGCTTGCTTATACGTTAGTAATCGCATTAAATAAATAGCCAATGTTAAATCCTCACAAGAATATTTTGACTTTACGGTCTTTAATCCTAGCAATTATAAATAGTCTATATTTTGTGTGTAAATCAATCAACACTAAGTGTTTTAAAGGAAATAGGCTAAAAAGAAAACGATCAACCAACCAATGACCGTATGAAACTGTAGCCTTTATAACACTGACACCCAGGGGCATCTGTTAGTATTTGTTTATTTTTGTATAGTGGAACTATAGAAATATATTTTAAAAAAAATGTAATTACATTTGTGCTTTCTCCTCTTGTCCATGTTTGTGTCATAACTGATTTAGTGTCATATCAGATTAGACCAGTGATGAATAATGTTATATAAAAATCAGCACAGCTCAGCAGTTTAATAAAACTAAAGATATTACAATCCACGTATGACTTGTAATTGTAATTAAGCACATTCAAAGTGAACTCAGTGCTAATTTCTTCATCAGTCAGCCCTGATTACTGCTTCATTTGGAGTTATTATGACTTTACAACCACTAAATCATATTCAGATCTAAAAGCATTGTAATAACACTGACAAAGATTTGTCACCTGGTGAATGGCACAAAAGCAAAATATAAGTAATCCATGATTGAAATGAATAGTAAAAGAGTTTTATAGGCTTAAACATTATTTGGATTTTTAATAACAATAAAAATGTCTCCTCGATCTGATTTTGAAGAAATATCGTATCGTTCTACAGTGCATTCTATGGGTTGCAGTTCTGGCCTTCTTTCTTGAATGCTTCTATTAAATTCCCCTACTGTATAGCTGGAAAATAAAGCACTGTTTATTTCATTTGTATAGTATATCTGCTGTGTATATGTAATGTGTATCTTTGTTCTTATCTTTTAATAACTAAGAAAATGATGACAAAGATTTTTATCTTCGCCACTTTGGCCTAAATGTCTGCCATTCTTTTTTTATATATATTTTGTTACTTTCTAAGGCTTTGTTTTTAAAATAGGGACGTTAGTTTGGCTGTAATGCTCAGTCACTTGCAAAATAGTAAAACCAACATGAAAAAGAATCGTGATAAAATCTTGAATCGTGATTTTCCTGAAAAAAATTGTGATATGATATTTTTGCCATATTTCCCACCCATAATGAGTAGTGTACAAGTTCTCCGTATTTGTTATTGTATTCTGAATTAATCCAATGAGATTAGTAATTATTTGTGCAATGAGTGCCCTGGATACCTCTAGGCCAGAGGAGCTTATCCTCGTGAAGTATGCAGTCAGCATTTTGGAAAAGGTCTTTAAAGTTCACGAACTGACAAAACACACACCTTGTAGCCTGTTAAACGAGCTCTTGAACACAAATGGCTGTCTTTGACGAGTATGTTGACACGCAGGTGCGTGTTTAAGCAGTACAATGCATCAAAGCATTGTAAACATTGTAAGACAGGCACTTCACTACATACTGTATATAACGATAATATTGAAATCATACCGGCATCATTGTTGCATTTATATCCTTTAATATCACATATAAAATCCTTTTTTTTAAGGTTATGCAATCTTGATCACCCATACCTGAAAATTAAGCCATTGGACTTCTTGTTATTGATATATTTACTCTTGAAAAGTGACGTTTCCAAAAGGAGGTTTTTGTGGCAATGTCTAGAAGATACATTTTAGGTTCCCCAAAGAAATTTAAGTAAACAGTTCTTAAAGGAACCACTTTATTTGATTTATTCTTAGTGTGAGGAATATTTTAATAATCTGAAGAATCTTTTTCCTCTATAAAGAACCTTTTGTGCAAGGGAAAGGTTCCATGGATGCTGAAGGTAAATCATCGAACCAAGAACCAATGAAGAACCTTTATTTTTTGGATTTTTAGTTTTCACTGCGGTCTGAAGTGGAACGAGTCCAGACAAAATGCAGCACCCTTATGAACTAGGCCAGACTTTTCTAGATCCTATTTTTGAAAAACTATAAATAGTAAGAGCAGAGGGTAGAAGGGATTATGACTCAGATTGTCTGAATGATTCACAGGCTTGAGTGATCGAGAGATACGGTCTGGGAGGGGTTTCATGATCCAGGGACCCTCTCCCCATCCAGGCTCTCAGACAAACAAGGGACCCCAAATATAAAAATGCGTATTATTAATGTACCACATTTATTATTTGAAATATATAGAATATTCAGTCAAACCAAAAAATATTCAGACACCAGATATCATTTTTGATATTTTTTTACTAGTGGTGCAGGACACTATAGTTCATTTATGTCAGTGAGGATAGCAAAATAAAGTAAACTGTTACATATTATACCCAAAAATACATACAGTCTTCATACAGTGGACTACCAGTAAAATGTAAAAAAAAATGGGACCAAAAATTGTTCAGACACTTTGACCTGACCATGGTTTGCCTCATTTTTTTTTCTTTAATTCCAGATGCGACCTTTTTACACCACAGACCATACATTTTGGTTTAACTGTATATGCAAGACCTTCTTGGACACACAGAGCTGGGACCAATTTGTCTAAATGTATTTTCACCTATTCCATTTTCAGTGAGGAAGTGGAAGAATTATTTTGTAATTTGTGGCCTTAAACCTAAATGATTTTAATTTAACGGGTAAAAATAGGAAGGTCGTGTTTTATGTTCAGACATGAGACCCTCAGAGAGCCCTTGAACCTGAGGAACTGAGGAATGGAATATTCTGTGCACTAAATGTTGAATTATAGCAAAGCCCTTGATCTTGTTTCAAGCTAATTGATTCAGACATGGATTGATATGAATAATCTCTTGCCGTCATGTGACCCAAAATAGTCCTTGTGCTGAATCCCAAGCCAGTAGAGCACCTTCGCTGAAAGGTTGAGGTTTCTTCTACACTTTGGTCAATTTGAACTTTAGTTTTTTTCTGATATTTTTAAAGGGGATATACATTTGTGTCCTAAATCGGACATATTCAGTGTTGTATCATCATCTTGTGGGGCTTAAAGGTTTATTGGAATGTCTGAATCAGAGAGAACTCCAGGAAAGTGAAACTGCCAGATGTGATCAGCAGAGAAGCTTGTGTTTTTTATTGTCATCTTTTCGTGATGGGTCAACGACTCAGTGAGGATTCCGACGACAAAGAAATTGATGTTGCTGAACTGCAGGAGTGGTATAAAAAGTTTGTGGTGGAATGTCCGAGTGGAACCCTCTTCATGCACGAGTTCAAGAGCTTCTTCGGTGTAACTGGAAACCAGGAAGCGGCAGATTACATAGAAAACATGTTCCGTGCTTTTGATAAAAATGGGGTAAGTGATTCAATTTCAGTTACCTTACACAAAGTAGGCATAAACACTCTGTAGGAGACTGTGTAGACACTCAAAAATAACTTAAAAATATAATATATATTCCTACATACATGCATACATACATCCTACATGAACTTCTTAGAATTCTCAGAATTTTTGACAGTTCATTCCTATTTTCTCATTCATTTTTTCGTAGGACAACACTATTGATTTTCTGGAATACGTTGCAGCCTTGAATCTAGTGCTGCGAGGAAAGTTGGAGCACAAACTGAAATGGACTTTTAAAATGTATGACAAGGATGGGAGTGGCTGCATCGACAAAACAGAGCTCAAGGAGATTGTGGAGGTAATCAGCCCATGTCCTTTTCCTATTGTCAATCACGCCGACTTAAACATTAAACGGTTGAGATTACAATTCTTCAGCGGTTTACTTGATTTAAGAAAAAAAAGAATGAAAGCCATAACCATGTGTTCTGGTTGCATTTGTACTGAGATTACAATTACACAACTGGTTTCATCACTTTCAACTGAGATGTTTACATGGGATTCATCCAGATGATATCAGGACATTTGTGTGCAGAGATGATATAACACTGTAAAGAAGACATTTATGCATTTATGATTAAATTAGGCACCTTTTACTTTACTTTTATAGTCAATCTACCGACTAAAGAAAGCCTGCCATGGTGAACTTGATGAGGAGTGTAACCTACTGACCCCAGATCAGGTGGTGGACCGAATATTTGAGCTAGTGGATGAGAACGGAGATGGTAAAACCAACTATGATTCATTATTTTTCTAGACAGTCACTAAAGGGCTATAGCCAAACTCTTTTTCCTTCTTTACATATAGCCTGTGCTTAAAGGCAGCCTAAAGCAGCTGATGCTGAGTTTCTGTCCTGTGTCCACAGGGGAGTTGTCTCTGGATGAGTTCATTGACGGGGCGCGACGTGACAAGTGGGTCATGAAGATGCTGCAAATGGACGTGAACCCCGGGGACTGGATCAATGAACAGAGACGCCGCAGCTCCGACTCCTGAACTCTACAATCACCAAAACAACCCTTTAAACCAACCGACATATACATATGCAGTTTCTCAACTACAGTTTTAGTCATGGTTCATGAAAGTGAATCTTGAGTCATCAGTACAAATTATATATAGACCATATACAGTATATATATATATATATATATATATATATATATATATATATATATATATATATATCACCATAGTGTCTCCCGTTTATTTTTTCACCAACAGAATTCAGTTTATCTGCATGTATATATTTATGTTTTCTTTATTGTTTCTTTCGTTCTTGTTGCTAGGATCTGTGGATTGCTCACTTTAAATATTGATCTATTATTCTGCAGATAAGGTGCATTTGTTTAACTTTTTGCAGCATATTACTCTGTTTATAAATAACAGCCATCAGTTACAAATGGGCATATCTGATGTTTGTAAATATATGAATATTGTAAAGTCTCTTGAAGGTCAAAATTGTAAAAGTATTTGCATCTGTACATTTCTCAAAAATAAAACTCATCAATCATATATTAAATATACTATGAATTAATTTCACCTTTTTCTCATTTCTTACAAGCTCACGCTTGAATTAGATAAAATTTGGTGACATGCATTTTTGTCAGTTGTGTTACAATCAAATTAACTTTTAGTCCCAGGATGTCATCAGTTGTCACCATTTGTCAATTATACACAATTGTCACTTTTTCAATATCAATGGTGCTACAGAAACATAAAATTGTATTGTAAGTATTTTAACCCTAAAAATGGCAAGACCATAAAGAGAAATCAGAACATTTATTTATTGCAATTTTCCATATTCTTAGGACACAAATAATACAATTTCATGATTTTTTAAATATTTGTATCCCCCAGGCCAGGACACGTCGCCAGTTTGAGGGTATAAAATCATTGAAAAAAGAAAGCTTGTTTGGCAATACGTGTTACAACATTATAGCCAAATTTTAAAAACATTTATTCTCTCATTACTTAAACTAAACATTCTTTGTAAAATGATGTTGAACAATAAGCATAATGCCTATTTATGAATATATTATAGCCTACTGTATCATATTTAATACGCATACTTCTACCCCCAAACTGGCCACATATCCTGGGAGATACAAACATTTACAGACATATTGTGAAAAATGTACAAATTAAATTAATAAAATTTCAACACAAACATAATAAGCTAACGCTTAACAACAACTTTTTAAACATGTAAATCCCCTCCAAATATAGTAAATATGTGAAATATATCAACTTTTATCTGAAGGCAAGTAGATTTCCCACTACAGGTGGCCATGTTGTTTTTAAATGCTTCCCGTGCATGAACAAAGCCACAAGATCTAAATATTCTCAACAAACACCCTTTCAACATGAAACCAAGAAATTAGACCTACACTTTCCCTGCCTCTCAAATGTTTGTATCCCCCCCAGGATACGTCGCCCATTTTAGGGTTTAAAATATGAATGAATATTTATTGAATTAAAATGGATATATAGACAGGATGCTCTTGCACTCCCTGACGCTAGATGGCACTCAAGCCTTTCAATTCAACCAATTTAAACCTGGCTAGAAGCCAAAGTGAAGTGAAACAAGTGTTTGCGTTTTTTTTAAGGGACACAGAACACACATTCGGCTTTATTGGTTTGGTAAGTTATCGGACCACCAGCTCTAACCAACACACAACGTATCTAACCAGGGAATCTCGAAGTACTTGAACATGTTATGTTTGTACACCTTATAGTTCTTCGTAAAAGGTAGGTTGTCACTGTTTTATATATATATGTGTTGTAACTTTAAATAATGATTAATTGCATTTTCTGTTAAAAACAAACAATAGATAGTTAGTGGGAAAATACCCACAGTGAAGTCCCAGCTCAAACGTCAAAGATGGATAAGATCGCGCGGATGAAGGTACGGCAGATGTTTAATTTCATTCGACATTATTATATTTTTTTTACTGGCTTACTGTTTTACTTTTCAAATCTGTGTAAAGATTACCCCTGCAAAAGCATTTGGAAATGATCCTCAAAATGAATAAAATAAAATAAAAACAAGTTTTAAATGTGTTGGGTGTTGGCTCAACTTGCCTGTAATACAGAAGAGATTGAATTCATAGAAAGTATCATGCCATTGTCAGGTGACGAGTGATTTTTTATGGCGTTATTATCCTGTCCAATGTCGAGAGCGCATTATTGTAGCGCGAAAGTACATTAATATTATGCGCGAGCGTGAATCTCTCTGCTCGCGCGCGGAATATGATGTGCCGAGCGTGAATCTCTCTGCTCGCGCGCGGAATATGATGTGCCGAGCGTGAATCTCTCTGCTCGCGCGCGGGAACTGGGCACGCGCTCTCAGATACACTTCTCTTGTAAGAATTCTCTCTCTGGGCTGAGTGGGCTCGCTGCCTCGCTCAGAGAATATGCCTGCACTTAAAACGTGTTCAGTGCAATCGCGAATCGCTCCTCTTCCCCGCAGCTAACAATTTTAGGTTATAAGAACGTTTTCATAACGTTCCCATTAAGTTATAAAAACGTTATTTCTGAATGTTCTATGGAATTTCAAAAAGTCCAGTTTTTAGACGTTGTATTAACGTTATTTCTTGGTTATAAGAAAGTTCAATTCTCCCGTTATGTAAACGTTGTATTAATGTTATTTCCTGGTTATAATAACGTTAGAACGTTCAATTCTCCCTTTATGTTATAAGAACGTTATTCAAACGTTCAATTCTCCCATTATATAAACCTTCTCTTAATGTTTTTCTAAGATAATGAAAAACGTTTCATTCAATAAAAAAAAACATTAAGAAATGTTTTAATAATTATTAAAACCTTTCTTAATGTTTTTTATATAACAAGGTAGCCTATATAATAGGCCTAGCCTATATGAAGAACCTAAAATAAATAAAAAAAGACCCATGAATCATGTCTATAATATGTGTAATGTAGTCCACTGAAGTCGAGTTGAATTGAACCCAAGTAGGCCTATAGTTTATTCCAGTAAACCGATTTGGGTTGAAGTGACCATATGAAATTAACATGAACATAAACTTGGACTAAACATAGAATCACCAACAATGGTACAGGGAACAAAGCTAGACAAGAGACAATGGGAACACAAGGACAAGGATTATGACCAAAAACAACCAATGACATCCACAAGTTAAAGTTAATTTAATTTATATAGCTCATTTTTACAACAATTTCCAAGTTTATGTTCATGTTAATTTCATATGGTCACTTCAACCCAAATCGGTTTATTGGAATAAACTATAGGCCTACTTGGGTTCAATTCAACTCGACTTCAGTGGACTACATTACACATATTATAGACATGATTCATGGGTCTTTTTTATTTATTTTTGTCTTAATTTTAAAATCTGAAAGTTCTTGTTTTAGGTTCTATAGGCCTATTATATAGGCTACCTTGTTATGAATGAAACGTTTTTCATTATCTTAGAAAAACATTAAGAGAACGTTTATATAATGGGAGAATTGAACGTGTGAATAACTTCTTATAAGTTAACCAAGCAAGAACGTTAATACAACGTTTATATAAAGGGAGAATTGAACGTTCTAACGTTATTATAACCAGGAAATAACATTAATACAACGTTTACATAACGGGAGAATTGAACGGTCTTATAACCAAGAAATAACGTTAATACAACGTCTAAAAAACTGGACTTTTTGAAATTCCCTAGAACATTCAGAAATAACGTTTTTATAACTTAATGGGAACGTTATGAAAACGTTCTTATAACCTACAATTGTTAGCTGGGGAAGAGGAGCAATTCGCGATTGCACTGAACACGTTTTTAAGTGCAGGCATATTCTCTGAGCGAGGCAGCGAGCAGAGAGAGAATTCTTACAAGAGAAGTGTATCTGAGAGCACGTGCCCAGTTCCCGCGCGCGAGCAGAGAGATTCGCGCTGGGCATATCATATTCCGCGCGCGAGCAGAGAGATTCACGCTCGGCACATCATATTCCGCGCGCGAGCAGAGAGATTCACGCTCGGCACATCATATTCCGCGCGCGAGCAGAGAGATTCACGCTCGCGCATAATATTAATGTACTTTCGCGCTACAATAATGCGCTCTCGACATTGGACAGGATAATAACGCCATAATTTTTGTCATGTTTGCCAGGTTTCACAGACAAGGCTTAAGCCTAGTTTCAGACTAAAATGCATGTTTGAGCTGTTTTAACTGAAAGCAACTTGCACTGACTTATCTTAAAATATGTCAGTGCCATTGTTTTGTCTCAAGATGCACATCAGTAATGTTTTTTTTCTATGGCACTTTTATAAAAGTTACTTAAATGTCCTAATTGAACTAAGGTCTAATCCTGGCTTAATCTAAGCCTTGTCTGTGAAATCAGGCTTTTATGTTCTTCCTCATTTGTTGCAGCTCCCGTGCAGATCAGGATGGAAGCTGCTCCACATGAGAGGAGATTTGTTCACCTGTCCGTCCACCGATGCCCTGGCGCACTGCATCAGTGAAGACTGCCACATGGGTGCAGGGATCGCTGTGCTCTTCAAGAAACATTTTCGTGGAGATGAGGAGCTTCTGGCTCAGAGTGAGTGTGAATTATCATTACTGACAAGTGCACTTCATATAACACTCAAATCAAACGCATTTGATTCTCAAAGAATGTTGCCTTCTGTTTTGTGTAGAGAAGCAACCTGGGCAATGTGCAGTCCTTAAAAGATCTGATCGTTTTGTGTATTACCTGGTAAGATGGCTTTTAGCGTTTATTTTACTTTAATTCACATCTGTTCTATGTTTTACTTAATAAATTAGGATGAGAGAGTAGAGTTTTCCGGACTTAAAGCTTTCTTTGTTCATCAAAATTGACCTTTTGCACCTTTTTCCTGCATTAGGTCACAAAGGAAAAGTACAACCAAAAACCCACCTATGACATTCTCAGAAAGAGCCTTGTGTCTATGAGGGAACACTGCTTGGCCAATGGCGTTAACAGTATATCCATGCCTCGGTAAACTTACACGTTTAATAATAGCGCTATTTTGAATTTAAATGCAGATTTTGATTTTAAATGTAATTATTTTAAATATGATTCTACCTAAATGACTATTTAAAATAATTTTGCAGTTGTCAATGCTCAAATATAGCTTGATAATTTTTTCAATACCAAATTTGCATAACTTTTCTTTTAAATTACTTTTTATTGTTCTGCTGAATAGACTGCAGTAACTAAAGTCATTTTCTCTTGCTAGGATTGGCTGTGGTCTGGATAAACTGAAATGGGAAAATGTGTCTTCCATTATTACAGAAGTCTTCCAGGACACAAACATCTCCATCACTGTGTACTCAATCTAGACCACAGCAGGTCTGAAACTCACATTATTCCTTAACCGTTCTTAAAGAATGGTCAACGTCGGTTTGCTTTTTGTTCCAATGGAATTTCACAACATGCTGTATGGTGGGTGTTTATTAGTCTTGTTCTGGATTGCATAAGTGCTAAAGATTGTAAAAAGACTGTTCTATTTATATACACTAAGAATTTGGATGTTCTTTAGCACCACTAGAGGGTGCATGTCTGACTATTTTACTTTTCAAATCTGTCAATATTGTCCCAGATTAAATGATCCTCAATGGGGGGGAAATATATATATGAAATTAAATATTATTATTGTTTTATTGGATTGCTTTAATCTTAAAATGAAGAAATAGTTTAATTTTGTAAATAAAGTTACAGTATGTCTTCAAGTTCATATTTTTCCAGTAAAATATTACTAATTAAGTGTACCACAATATAAATGCACAATGAATGACCCATAAATAATGATTTCACCATTATTCTGAAATTCTTAAATCCAATTGATTCTTTAGTATAGCAGTTCCTGGAGACGTTCAAAAGTTGTTGCTTAATTCGAACCGCTTACTAGCATTCTACTTTTACCATGTCTTTCTATGGCAGAACTGGGAAGAGTAGTATGCAGTTCTGAACTCATTTCTGAGGCTATGCCCTCCAAAGGTCGCATTAGTCGGCATCATCGAGGCTCTATCGTTTCAGTGAAGCAACTATTATTAAAACTAAAGTTATTCTTACTTTGGAAACAAATGTAACCTGTGTGTGTAGCCTTCGAAATGAGACACAGCTAAAATCTGCAGTTTTGATCCACTGCTTTAGTATATTATAAGCAGCGTTGAAAAGCATCATACCTTTATACCGCTGTCTTTAGATTGTGCTCATGATAGGAAATTGACTCATGTTTATTGCATTACATACAAGGAGACTATTCACTACACCACTTTGCACTATCCCATTTCAAAAGATTAGACAAAATTAGAATATTTAACCATGATGCTTAGAGCAAAGCAAAGTATATTTTGGTTTGCAAATGTACTTGGAATTAACTGGAAAATAATCAATTTCATGCTTGGAATTTACATTACACCCAGATGTTTGGCTTCTAAAGATTTTCCTGAAATTTGACTCTATAAAATAGGAATATTAACAGCAGCTTGTTCCTTTGCTACTTTGTACCTCATCTACCCCTAAAAGGTGAATTTTAGTACCTTAGAGTAGTAATACATACCCTTAAGGTATTACTATGAACTTTTATAAGGTGCAGAGATAAAAGACTAAGAGACAAGCTAAAGGTAATTTTTTTGCACATTTTTTTCTAAGAATCTAAATGTATGATATCCTTTATATTTGAGATACCTCACTATATACTGGACTATATAGAGTGTGGTTTGTATTCATTAATTGGATTATAAACTTATGTAAAGTCAGCCATGTGTTGTTACAAGAGAAATAGTGTTGACAGAAGAAACAACACTGCTAAAATGACAGGTTGATTGTAATAATTTGCTTTGAAGTACCAATTTCCTTAAAGGCAGTTCATTTGCTGTATTAAACAATCTTAATCATAGGCCAGCAGCGGCTCTTTATCCTACTTTAAAATATCACACAACTTCTCATCATAATAATCATAGCTATCTTGACAGTCTTCCCATGGTGCAAAGTTATCTTCCTCGTTCTCAACGAAAGTAGACCAAACATACGCAAAATCCAAAGGCCTCATCATGCGTAGTTTACATCCCGCCCTAGCTAGCGCCTGAAGTCCGGCCTGTATCTCTGGTTCCTCCCACTGGAAAAGGCGGGAGCAGTGGATATTAAGGCGCAGTGACTTGCGTGCTTGCAAGATCTCGATAAGCTTAGCAGCGCAGGCTGCGCAAGGGCTCGAGGACGTGTACCAGGTCACTGTGTACTGGAGTGACTTGTCGTAATAGGCCAGCACCTGGTGAAAGAAGGCCTCTTCAGCGTGTGAACCCTTATGCTCATCCTCCAGGTAACCACGAAGGCCGTCTTTCTCTGTAGCGCCCCCTTGAATGTCTACCTGGTAGCACAGGAAGGTCTTATTGCGCCCGGAAGAATATTCCACGTTTTTAAACTGGAACTTGAAGAAGGTGGGGTTCATTCTGTCTCTGTGGGAAGAAGGAGGACATTTGGAGACTTAAGTAATGCCTGACCATTTTTATAAGCTTTTCTGATTTCAGCAGAATTCCAGCAATTAGTGCAAACAAGACAAACTCACACATTCCATTGTGAGAAAACTGGAATACACCACACAAACCAATTTTAAAACACTAGGCATCATACACTTTTGTAAATGGTTACAGAGAAAAACTGGGCATCATACAAGACTGAGATTCACACATTACTAGACTAGTTCTTCTGAACGCAACTTACTCATGTAGAGACATGCACCTCGCTGCTAGGAGACACATGACAGATGAAAATAATACGTGTTATAAAATATCAAAACGTGTTCTCAAAAACATATTTTCCGACTGATGAAATCAAGTCTGTGCCTTTCATAAACTATGCGATTTTCTGTGAAATCTGTCATTTCCGACTGGCCAAAATCTGTAGACTGGCTCTTATTTACAGCAAAATCAGGCACACAAAAAAAAGGTGGTGTGTTTAACAAAAGAATCCATTAACTTTTGGCAAGAAGTGTTTCTGCTTGGGTGGCCACTAATAGGACTACATTGACTCAAAGGGGGTTAGTTAATAGGCTTGTATAGAGCTCTTTGTTGAAATATATTCTTATAAAATCTAGAGTTTAATTGTGATATTTGGAAGAAGAACCGATTGTCTGATAAGACTAAAACTGAACTTTTATGACACTACAAGACAAAGTCAATGGCCACTTAAACACCACACCAACGTGCTTGCTGAACATTGAACTTCAAAACCGACCATAATGGTAAACATGTCCTCTCTAACAGCTTCTACTCTTCAGAGAAGGATTTGCACTAAGTTGGATCATGGTTGTGGAGATTTGTTCCCATTAAAACATGAGCGATTAATTCCAGTGTGGTTTCAGGTCTGGGTTTGTTCAGGTCACACAAGTTTTTCCACATTAGGCTCAGTAAACCTTATAGACCTCACTTAGTGAAGTCACAGAGCTCTTCTGCCCTGTAAATCTTTTAGGATATTGCAGATTGTCTGTATGCTTGACGTTATACTACTGTTGTTACTGTGGGTGTAGCTGAAATAGTGAAACTGGTTAATTAGTAGGCGGTGTCCACTACTTAGTCATTAAGTGCCAAAAGCATCATGGTTTAGGGATACACCTACTAGTCTGTGGCAAGGACAGGAAAAATCATAAAGACAAAAAAGAGAAATTGATTGCGCTGAATAGCACACAGATAAATCCTAAAGAAAAAAAAATATTCCAAAAATCACTGGGTTTAAAGCAATGCCCTGGATTGGTCTGACTAATTCACATTGCTACCAAGAAGGATGGATTTTGAGATGTATCTGTTGTCAGAGATAATCCACCAAGTATTATTTATAGAGGAGTGACAAATACGCATGCATTAAGTTCTAGTCTATCATTAAGTTTTAATTTGTTAAAATGCATTTTAAGTGAAGTAATCTTAAAATCGATTGTGGTGTCATTCATTCTGTAGCGTATAATACAATGTGAAACAGTTTATCTACAATGTTGTATAGAGAAAAGTCTTCTACCTTGATATTAGATGAAATGCAATTTTTTTCACACAATTTCACACATTTATACATGCTGTTGTGAATTTTAAAGCTACTCTACCCCTTAAAGGTGCATTTTAGTACCACAAAGTAGTAAAAAAAAAGTTCCCATTAAATCGAAATTGAAGTTTTTTATTATGATTTTAGTATGAGTATGTTAGCCTTAAGGTTATCTATAAGCTAGTCTGATCCAAAACAACGACAAAATTCGTGTTTAGAAGATATAAGCATTTAAAACTTACAGTCTCTCACTTCCGCCAATATGGATCAATGATTTAAAAGCGGTCACTTGTTCACACATTTACTATTTTCTACATGGTGAATGGTTTCACCATCCACTATAGGGCATAGGGAGCGATTCAGACAGTGTAAATATGCTTTTCATTGGGGTGAATGAAGTCCGCCGCAACTCGCACACAGTCTGCTCCGGTCCAGAGACACGGATCATATGCGCAAACCTATCGGACACATTTGAATTCTGCACAGAATGCTATATTTTAAAATGATATCACTGAGTGATAGAAATAGGCCTATTACTATGGGTTCCAGTTAGTATAAGTGAAAGATGTTTGACGTACCCTACAATGATCTCAAATGGAGGCAGCTCCATAGGCTCCAGCTCAAACTCCTCATCTTTGACAGGGCCTTTGGCTCCTTCTGCTATCTCCCCATTTCCCTGTGGCATCTCCTCATCTTTTTGCTGATTTTCTAGGGTCTTCTCCGGCTTCTTTGTCATCTTTTCATCTTTAACCTTGTTCTTTTCTTTCTCCTTTTGAGGTTTACTCTCTACTTTCTCCACTTTCTTCTCTTTCTTTTTCACCACACTGCCTTTACTGGGAGTCTTGCTGTCCTTTTTGTCTGCCATGATTTAGCTGTGCGATGAAATGAGTCTGCTAGATGGGAGCGTGTGAGAGGCGCTGTTGATTCAGTGTGTGTGTGTGAGTCAGAGAGATGACAGGCTGAATATGTTCCTAAGTCTGAGAGTTGAAGATGAAGATAAAGATAACTCACTGTCACAAACAGGAGCTGGTCAGAGAACGCACAAGGGAGGGAGACTGAAAGGGCAGCTGCTCTCTTGTTTCCATGCTATAAAAAGGCCAAAGTATAATGAAGAGGGGGGTTTTCATACATTCATTGTTTAAACACACCACAAACACATTTGTTCAACAAGTGCTTCAACTAGCCTTTTTTCCAGCTCAGTTTCAAATATGTAATGAGCAATGACATATAACCAGGTATATAACCAGGCATTTCCCTCCCCTTCTGATCAGGATATTATTGCTGTTCAAACACCAACAACAGGCAGTTTATTAATAACTGTAGTTTGGCAGAGAGTTCAGAATGACTCAGTCTCTTCACATAGTGAATGCCATGGTTCAGTTTAGGCCCTTACGACCCTCACATCAAGGTCGTCTAAAGGTCAGCAGTGCATTGGCCAGTCCCTGAAAAACTTTCTTTTTTTTTTTTGCATGCATTCACTTAGCCATTGGCAAACTGTCATTATTGTTTACAGATACTTGAGTTGTGTTGGAGGAACTGAGTCACTTTCTAAAATATAATCCTTGCGGTCTGAAATACAGTGTATTTTAAGGTTATATTCTTGTACAGAGTGCTGATGTCCCCACTCTACCAGAGTCATTACTAGTTCCCTTCCAGCTTTTGTACACATTCTTGAACCTCTTCCAGAGCCGGGAAACCTGTGAAAGTCTAAGCATACTTACTGAATACTGCACAGTATACACTGTGTGCTTACTATTTAAAAAAAATACTAAAACAGAAGGCGTTATTCCATGTTATAAATTACCATCACAATAAAAAAAAAAGGAAGATCAGTGCATTATGTATGGGATATGACGATTTAGGCTATAGAGGCTACTTCACATTTTTAGCAAATGTAGCATGCCATTCGAATCCCTAACATAATGTGCATATATACATAATACTGCAGCAATAGTAAGAGTATAGCAGTCCCACATCTCTGCCCCATAGGCTACAATGGTTATTGACCATAAAAAGCAGGTGCATTACTAGGGTATTTATTTTAAGAGTCATATTAAGTCCATTGCTATAAAGGTTGTATGAATACAGAACACATCCTAAGAACAGAAATGTTTGATCAGTTATGAATTGTTTAAATATAGACCTGAGTAGCTGAAGTGTTGGGTCATGTATTGTCCATTATAAAAGTGGACGTACACATTGTGTAAAATTCAATCTCACCTCCCCTGAGCCACAGTCTTTAGCTGAAGAGCTGCTTCTCAAACAGATCTGGTACTGATGATCCCGCTCTGGGACGTTTTTCAATCACATTAATTAATTACCGTATATCAGTATACAAGATTTATTTGATCTGCCTTTGACAGATAACGTTAAACTCTTGATAACTGGAGTGCATTATGGGTATAACCATCATTTTGGTGGTATTCTGTGGTCTGATCCGCATTATTATGACTACAGCAGGACAGAAACCCTCATTAATTTTACTTGGTGCATCTGAGCTTCCATTTTAAAGTGGTAAAAATCATGTGCGTCTTTTAGCACTAACACAAATTCACACTATACTTGGTGACACAACTATCCCATAGCAAAGCAAATGTACCGGTAATTGTTTTCAAGTCACCACTGGATTATTAATGATACAGTATTATTGAAAATGATAAATTGTCAGAGTTTGAAAGGTAGTAAAATAATCTGTTGATGTTCAGTTTTAAATGGCTCAATAAAGCTATGTTCTGTGTGTCAGTGTGTTCTTATTTAGTTTTAACCAATATTTATTATTAAGGGTATGTTTACACAGCAATGATGTACTAAAATCTGAAAAGTTTTTCCATTGGGTTTTTCGTGCACAGGTTGTCCAAACGATCCACATTCACACAGGTCTGCAAAAACAACTAACAACGCTGTATTATTCATACCAGGCCAGTAGTTGGCAATGTAAATAATCGCTCATATAGACTGAACATGTAGTACGCATGCGCATGAAGTTACCATTTTCACAAATTCACATTTTTGAAAGTTACACGGCGGCGATAAAGGTATCGTTTTCAAAAACTTGCACTTGCACTTTGAATTCCGTTTTCAAAAGTTTGCGTTTTCATGCCTCCAAATCCCGTTGTGGTGTAACTGAATGGACAAAACGCATAAAAGGTTTCCGTTTTTAGTTGAAAACGGTGTTGTGTAAACGGCCCCTAAAGCAGCATAAATTTGATTTTGAATTTTATAAGTAATGCATAACAGAGAATAGTTTTAAATGAATTAAACACTAGCCTACATTTGTCAAATCAAATGTTCCAGTCTACTGGAAATATTTAAAATGTAATGGCTTGAAATATGTTATATGCATAGTTTAACTGGAATAACTTAATGAGGTCACAGTATATCTTTATTTAAAATGGATGTTGTATTCAGCCCCTGATGTATGCCAGTTCTAAATGTTATTAATAAAACTGACCAATTTACCACACAAACACACCTACACATCACATTCGCAGCAAATGACTGACAGGCCTCCTTTGTTGGCATAGAGATTGCAATTATAGGCAGGATGGCAATTTCTTTTGAGGTTTGGCAAGAAGGGAGCGTGACAATGAGAAAATGTAATTGCAATCGGAGCCATTGCTACTGCTGTTTCAATATGACTGTGCCATTCCTGCACGAATGTTGGAAATGAAATGTCAAATGGACTTTGCTTTTCCATTTAAAATCTGGCAGACGTTGTAAATGACGTGTGCACAAATAGAAAATGCAACTGCAAGTACAATTTTGCCCAGAATATGATACTGTAGTATTGCTGAGACTGAGTGGGAAACTGAAATCAGGATTCACATCCCATATACACACACTCAGAAATGTTCATTATATCTGCACTGCAGCAGTGCCACCCCGCCTTACACATAAATCTGTTTGAAATTGAGTTTATTGATTGAATGTCCTTTTTGCTATTTTCTCCTCCACGTGATCAGAATACAAGCACACATAAACTCCACTGTTAAGATACAGAACCTAGCATAAGTGCGCTGTACTTATAACTGTAAATGCACACACACTGACATATGTGATCGTGCTATGAAGACAGTAAAATTGCTTGACCTTTAGCATATTATTGCATGGCAAAGTATTTCACAGTTATGACAGGACAAGAAGTCAGGTTTGATAAAACACTTTTTTACTGAAATGGAAAAGTCTATTTCACACAAAAAGTCTTTAACACACACCAACTCTTCTTGATTGTTCTCCATTCAGCTCTACAAGCTAGGGGAGTCTACAGTCCACCATCAGTGTTCTCCAATTTCCCATATTTCCTGAAATATAATTATCTTCAATTACTGAACCTGCCTGCTGCTTTCTAGGGGGTAGGTTTTGTACACAAAGAACCCCCACAAAAGGCTTGTCAGATATACTGAATGTATACTCTGTTTGTTTGACCAATTCTTTCCTTAAATAAATATAAAGCTAACATAAAATGTTTAATAATGTTTTGCTGGAAATGTAACTGTTTTTCTTACAGGTGTTCTGAGAAAGCATTTGGCTGCAAGAATGGTTTTTCTGGGGTTCTATAACATGCTGATGGAAGGAGAATTATTATATAAATATTTGACAATTAATCAAGTGTGCACTGTACTTATCTGATCCTGTTGCATTTTGGGGGAGTGAAAGTTAGTACACAGAACTGCAATCTGCAGTCTGCAAAAAAGGCAACCAGCATCTGATTAGGAGTAAAGTCATAATAGGTTAACACTATATAACAACTTTCATTACATATATATGAACTTTTGAAAATTATTATAAATTGTTACCCATAATAATTAGTTAATTTTATATAATTTAAGTCTAGCCTTTTGTACATGATTTAAAAAAAGGAATTATTTACTGACAAAAGTATGTTGCTTCCTTTCAGGTAATTCTACAGTATTTATAGTGAGATACATATCAGGCACAATCCCTGTTTTGTATTTTTGAGGTGTTTGGTTTGATATCAGTAAAAAGAAAATTCTGTAAAGCTCTCTACGCAGTTAGGACCAAAGTATCCTATAGTTAGCCTTCAAGTAAATCAGAGTGTCCAAGTTTTTGGGCAGAAATCTGCATTGTTCTGGTCTGAGAGTCTTGCTTACCAGGCTAAATATCTGGTCCACTGATGTGGTTGTTGCTGGCACGGTAAAAACTTTCTTGGCTACTTGTGAGAGCAATGGGAAATCGATGGACTTGCGTTTCCAGTATTGTAGTGGATCCTCATCTGTGGGTTCTTCATGGAGATATGTGGACAGCTCCTGCTCCACTGTCTTGGCCTGGGCGGTTGGCCGCTGCTTAATGAAAGAGAACAGCTTGCAGCGTTTGGACGGGGATGGCTGGGCCTCTGAGTGATGTTCTAGTGGACCCAAAGGAGTATGCTTTCCAACTTCTTCCAGCAGCACTTGTTTGTGCCAGTCGCTGTCACTGCTCCAGGACAACTTGAACTGTGGGTCCAGGGTGGTGGCGGTTATGTAAAGAGGGTCTTCAAGAATGCCTGCCAGTCTGCGGTCCAGAGCTTGAGACAATCCCATCATGATCGCAGAGCACTGGTGAGTTACGACCTCAGCCAGGTGCTTGCGCAGACCCAACACACAGGGCAGGCCTAGGCTGATGGACACGTGCTTGTCTCCTTGTACCATGTCTGAGGCCTCTTCGAAAGGCTCTATCACTTCAACCAGCTCCCGCAGCACCGCTTTTTCTAAGTTACCGAGAACTAGGTCATTTCTATCCACAATGTCTTCAAGAAAATCCATTGACTCCACCATTTGGCGCAATATCTTTAACTGAGCGTTCCACTTGTCCATGGATGAGGGTCTTTGCCAATTTGTTGAGGTATTGGAGCCAAACACTTGGACAAGTTTTTCAGGAGCCACTGTAGCAATTACGTAGTTATAGAGGTGGGCTGCTTTGCTTAGAGGAAGTGATATCTGAGGGTAAGCGCAAACTCCTTCTTTAACACACTGAGCTAGTAATCGAGCAAAACAGTCTATCCTACTTCGACCAAGACACTGATCTAAAGACTTGCGGTTCTCATTGCTACTGATGGTTTCTCCTGCTCCAGGCTTTTCATCGCTACAATCTTCCTCCCCTTCATCTTCTTCACCGTTTCCAATGAGATTGAAGCCAGGAAGACGAAAAGGAGATCTGTTTTCACAAGGCGAATGGTCAGCGACGACTCTGAACACTTTTCCAGACACACCATAGGATTCAGAGATCTCATCAAACTCGCTGAGCATTTGCTGAGTGTTGCTGTGGTCTGTTAGCGGTAAGCAAGCCAAAAGAGCGGATCTAATGTGCCAGTCTGCGTTTATAAAGTGGCAAGTCACTCCAAGATATCCAGCACCCACAAAGCTGCTTCTCCACAGGTCAAGGGTCACGCTGCAGGACTCTGCTCCTTTTAGAGCCTGTTTTGCAGCTAGTTGCACTTGGGAGACATAGGCTGGCAGGAGCTGCTGCTGTATGTAATGGCATGGTACCGGTATGTATCGGGGCTCCAGGAGCTGAAGAAGCTCACGGAAGCCCTCATATTCAACTATCTGTGTCGGCTGCAGGTCTCGGATGATCATCTTGGCGATGGCTTCCGAAATGAGGGATTGCCGAGGGTCACTGTAGTCAAACTTGTTCATCCCAGGACTGCTTTGAGAGATCACTCGACCACTTGGTGGGCCAGTACAATTCTGCATTGCCTCTCTTTTCACATCTTTCTTCCTCACAAACTCATCATACATGGCCTGATGTTTGCGCTGTGGATGTGACATGATTATATACAGGTAAAATACATGTAGAACCCAATAAATAAAACAACGTAAACACATAATATATGTAAACACACACACAAACAGAATATCAAGGGTTCCCACACTTTCTGACTGGCTTTTCAAGTCAGTCCTTCGAGACTAACAAACAGACTTTTTAATAATCTTTTTTTCTTTTTCAAATTGCACAAAGCACATTTGATCAAAATACTGTAGGCTAATAATTATATTTTTTCATTTATTTATGACTTTTTACCAGGAAATATATATATATTTTTTATTAATCTTTAAATTTCCATCACTGTAGGGACTCTGAATAACGTTAGTGTATAAAAAGTGGTCATGCAACATCTCATTTGTCTCGTTATTAGATACAAAACACTGTTACATATCTAAATTAACCCTTACCTTTAAATGTGTAACAAAGTTAGAAGTAACTGTCCGTTTAGCCTGAATCCTTGTGCCACAAGCCTTGCAGTTAGATTCAATTTTGCCATTTTCTCCCTCACAGACGATATTGAAATAATCCAGAATGGAGACCCTAGATTTTGACGCCATCAGTGATCTTGTTATCTTCCACGATATGAACAATACCGTAAGAATAACACCGAAAAAAAAATGAAAACAATTTGATATGCTCTTTTGTTTTCCGAAATATCAGTCTAGCTTTGGGAATAGCCTCGTCCCAGCATAGAGATAAAAGGATAGTAATCTGACCGAGATAGCGCCGTGTTCACCTGATCTGACACTGATCGCATCGTCCTATCATTGAAAATGTCTTCTCGGATACACGTCTCAATAAAAACATAACACACGTCCCTCAGATCTGCGGGAGAGAGCAAATTGTGTATTTTGCCCGGTGTCAGTTCCGACCGTAAACATCGCTATCCGCTAGCAGCTCTTTTGAGATGAACACCAGGAAGTAGACAGCGAATGGACAATTTATTTATTTATTTATCATTACGCCTCTATTTGTCTGTTTTGATACCATTCGTGAACAGGCACCCACAACTTGATAAAAGGGTAATGAAGTAACCACAATAAAGAACGGCATTTCTTATATTTGTCGTTTTGTACATAACGTTACGCCAATTGAATGCAGTGATTTAATATAATCTTACTGTAGCTAAAACAGGTACGAAGGCGAGGACGCGCCTGATACTTCTGCTCGTGCACGTTTACAACGTCTTATGTTGTTGTTGTTATTGTTTTTAGGTTACAGCAGGAATTTTTGATGAAAAGAAAATGTTTCTTTGTAGGTGCTGGGTAGAAGAATTACATTTAACATGATTACTAAATGGTTTGCTGCTTGGATTCCTTTCAGATAAAGCGCAGTTTATGGCTCGCATGACACAGAAAACGTTCTCTAATAGAAATATAATGAAACTAATGGATTTGCCACCTTTTACTACTGTTTCCCAACTTTAAAAGGAAACAAGACATTTACTATGAAATTTAATTATCTGACAGGTATGATTCAACCACATAGAACTAGAACAATTACTTTATTTACTGATGTAGATGACTAAATTAACTATCTGATAACGGCATACAATAATGGCAGTTGTTATAGTTATTGCATTTTGGATGAAATGTTCAAGCAGAGCAGGTTCTAAAAAACTGAGAACGAATCAAATCTGCAGTAAATATATACATTTATAATTTGTCTGGATTCAACTGAATTACTGCTCAAAAGCTAACATGGTTCATCAAACATTTTTATTAGGTAAACTATTTTATACAATAAGAGTGATTTCAACATTCAACATAGCGAAATTGTTCTAAGAACTAAGGGTCTATCAATAAATCAATAAATAAAGATTATAGATGAACGTAAATAAGGTCACTGTTATTCCTCTTTTATTTCTGGTTGAGTCTTCTCTGTCTTCTCTTGTTTCTCCTTCACCTGGGCCTGCATCTCTTTCCTTGTAGCAAGTATTGCACTTTGTAGGGATGCAATCTCAGCTGAGAGAGTGATGACTGGGGGAAGGAAAATGTGCTTTAGTTACATAAAGTGTGCTTTAGTTACATAAAGTGTTAACAGTTAAATAAACCCAAAATACAGGAAATAACATTTCCCTAAAAACAAAAAAATTGTGCTGAAATAATACTTCAAATTTAAGCCACACAGCAAATGTGCACCAAAGCACAATATTTTAATATAATGCACAGGGATCAAATAAAATATAGCATAAGCAAGCCATAGTTATAGAAGACATCACAAAAGAGCGCACCCTCTTTAAAAGCAGACTGAGCTTGTTTCAGACTTTGTGGTACAAGGATCCCAAACCACTTCAAAGGTTCTCTGTGCTCGGGTGTGGATGATTCTGCCTTTGTTTTTACTTGAGGGTCTGTCTCTTCTTCCTCCTCTTTAACCCCCTTTTGTTTGGTATTTATTCGCCTCCTAAGACCTGAAACATTCAATGATTTTGTCACAAATCGTACAATTCCTCTTTACAGTTGTAGGTCCCTAAATGTATCATATAAATGGTATGGTAAAAAATGGGCAACACTGTGGAAAGATTCTAAATAAATCAAAAATTAATATGTTCAAGGGATAGTTTACCCAAACATAAAAATTCCCTCATTTATTACTCACCCTCATGTCGTTCCAAACCAGCAAGACTTTCATTCATCTTCGAAACACAAATGGAGATATTTTTAATGAAATCTGAGCGATTTCTGTCGCTCCATTGACAGCTAGGCAACTACCACATTGACACTTCAAAAAGCTCATAAAGAGATCGTAAAACTAATTCATATGAATTGAGTGGTTTAGTTTCATTTTCTGAAGAGACAATCATTTTCTATGATGAACAGATTGAATTTAGGCTTTTTTTCACATATAAACATTGATCAGCGAACATAAACAAAACCTCAACCGAACCTGCTTGTCGCACGAGAACAAACCTCTGCGTAACACACGAGAATGAAACTCATTGGTTCTTGCGGAAGCTCAAACGTGCTGCGTAACACGAGAATGAACCTCATTGGTTCTTGCGGAAGCTCAAACGTGCTGCGTAACACACGAGAATGAACCTCATAGGTTCTTGAGGAAGCTCAAACTGTTGTGTAACACACGAGAGTGAACCTCATTGGTTCTTGAGGAAGCTCAAACTGTTGTGTAACACACGAGAGTGAACCTCATAGGTTCTTGAGGAAGCTCAAACTGTTGTGTAACACACGAGAGTGAACCTCATTGGTTCTTACGGAAGCTCAAACGTACTGCATAACACGAGGATGAACCTCATTGGTTCTCGCACGTTAAGCAAACATGCTTGAGCTTCCGTTTCTACAACTAATGTGTGAGTTGATGAATGTTTAGCTATATGTGATAGGGCTGGATAAAAAATATCGACTTCTCGATTCTCATTTTTACGAACCGATATCGTTTCTTAAATCCAAAGAATCGATTAGGCTAGTCATCCTGTTTTCAGTTGATGAATTAATGGAACATTGTAGCGCCCATCCTATCCAATAAATCGCAATAATCTTTGTGCTTTGTTACTACTGATATGAAACAAAGTCTCAGATTTGAAATTATGTCGGTCCATTTTTTTTACGAAATTCAAAAACATAAATACCGTTTTGGTGCTGTGGCGTGAGATCGCTCTGGCGCAGCGGAGCTCAGCTCAAGAGAAGTAGCAGCGCATGCACATGATCTTCTCTTCCGCCTTAATAATACCAGTTACAGCGCGAAATAAACATGAATGAGCATCTGAAAGTGTGTTAAAAGATAGAGTACAACTTATCGAAATCCGTATAATATCACATGGAATCGCTCAATCCGTGTTTCAACCGTGGAAAGACGCCAGTAAAACAGCTTGTAAACAATGTCATGTAACTTCACATTTACCTCAGAAAAAATATATCCAGTGACCATAAACTCGTTAGTCAGCTAGAAAAATTAGCTCTAGAGAGGAGCATTTTGCTTAACATATGCACCATATTACATATTCATTATCATTTTTTAATGTTCTTCAATATTTAATGCATGTTTGAATAAATCTGGCAAGTTTATATGACAGCCACCATTTAAATGTTTAAATTCCATATAACTTTATTATTATAAAAATAAATAAGTGTAATTTAAGTGTTTGTATACAAATCAGTTCATTTTTACCTTCAATATTATAGGCTAATGAATTATAGTAGGCTACAACTGACTCCCATAGCATTAGTTAAGAGATTTGTTTTTCTTGAGAACATTTGCGATGTATTGTACCTGATATAAAAAATAATCAATATTGAATCGAATCAGAATCGAATTGCAAGCTTGTGAATCGAAATCGAATCAAATTGTGAAATTTGTGTCAATACTCAGCCCTAATATGTGAATAAAAGCCTAAATTCAATCTGTTTAGCATATAAAGCGATCATGTCTCTTCAGAAAATTTTAAACCACTCAATTCGTATGGATTAGTTTTACAATCTTTTTAAGAGATTTTTGAAGCGTCAAAGTGTCGCTATGGAAATTGCTCAGATTTCATAAAAAAATATATTCATTTGTCTTTCAAAGATGAACAAAAGTCTTATGGGGAACGACATGAGGGTGAGTAATTAATTACAGAATTTTCATTTTGGGGTGCGCTAACCCTTTAATTTACAAGTCAGCAAGTCATGCCTACCCGTGTCTTTCGCACCAATGTCTTCTACTGTGTTATTTTTCAGTTCTTCTGTTTTTTTCTTTCTTCTCTCACATTTGAACTCAGCTGTTCCACCTTCCAACAAGCTGTTATTAAGGCAAGCACATGGATATATATATATATATATAAATATATAAATATATATAATTAAAACTTATGCACAAGCGAATATTTAAATGCATATGATGACATACGGACCTGGCTTCAACGTGAACAAGCGGCTCCATCTCACTAGCGTACTGCAGAGCGGATACTTGCTTATTTCCCATTGAATAACGTGTCTTGGCAATAGAAAACCATCCCTGTGTAACAAAAATAAGGGAATTATATTCAGAATAAATACAAATGAAAATGTTTTGTGTACAACCCGCAATTGAAAAGGTTTGATTCCATCCATTAAATCCGTAAGTGTAATTTCACGTTTCACCTCTTCTATAAGGGAATTGAGTTTAAGTCGCTTTTCCTCAAGAGTCTCGAGCTGGTCCATGAAAAGCAGCAACTGCTCGTCCAAACGAAGATGTTGATCAGCACGCATTTCTGTCGTTTTATTCGACTAGATAGACGGTAGAAAACAATCAGAATCAGATATATATTCCTGTTGAACGCTATCAGGGAGATGTTTAGAACCTTTACCGGTCATGTGACAAGAAGTCACATGACATCAGTTCGATTTGTTACGTTGAGATTGCGTAGGTTAGTATGATTTCTGTGAATACTATATATACTTTACACAATTTAATATTATCTGTCTGTGCTTTCTGATGAAATCATTATTCAAGCACGTATATAATTTACACAAAATATTACCCAAACGATTGAGTTGTAATAAATATGTAATATTAGATATTTACTGAATTTGCTGAATATCTTGCTTGAAAATAATATCTCGTTTTTTGTTTTGTTTATTGTAATAGTGCATACGATACTTACGGCAAAAAAAAAAAAAAAAAAAAAAAACTTTGCTTCCCATACCGGGAGTCGAACCCGGGCCGCCTGGGTGAAAACCAGGAATCCTAACCGCTAGACCATATGGGAGTTATACACTACTGCGAAAGCAGACGATTTAAAGCAACATCTATAGACCAATTTCCAGCCGACGTCACAGTTACGTCACAGCGCTAGCTGGTGGCAGAACAAAGGGAAAACTGGAGGCGGTGAATACAAACCAGCACAGATTCGGCTACAAAATAAGGATCTTAAATTATTCTTATTATTATTAAATGTCATCTTGTTGTGTTGTTGGGTGCAAGAATCAATGAAACATTAATATGCTTCATCTGCAATTTTTTATTTCTAGAAAATATTCACCTCATTAAAATTGCACCGTAATGTCACTCTTTACATTGTCGTCTTCATGGCGCTGGCTAGGCAGAACTGCGGATCGTACACACACGTCTTGCACATCACCATTCAGCACATAGTTATAGGCATCTAAAGATTTATATGCCCTCCGTTTCTCTATCAGGTTGGTGTAGATGTCAGGCCACTCAACCGGAGGTAGCATTAACGTTAATCCTGTCAGATCCTCAATGAGTGTACGGGTCAGCCAATCTGGTTCCGTCCGTTAAAATTAACTTTTGCAAATAACAATCGCGGTCCTGGACAGTGAGTGACCTTGCACATTAAGATAAAATCGGATTTTCTCCTGTCATTGTTAAAAACAAGCTAACAAAACTTGCAGACTTTACGTTAGTGAAGCGGCCAGAGGGATCGTTCTGCCACCACCTAAGCTCCGCCCACATAAAAACGTCACCATGTTTACCAACTGAAAATTGGTCTATATATACAAGCTTCTAAATAAAGTGTGTATTTGTCATAGTGGCCGACACTCATGTTCATTCTTTCAATATCGTATCCAGCGTTGCAAAAGTTGATTAAACTTAAAGCTCGTTGGCAGAATTTCACATTATTTTCACTAGCCACTCTAAATATGCAAACATGCTGCGTTGTTGTATGATGGTAAATTGTTGAGTTAGTACTAAAAATAATAGTTGGCAAAAAAAGGTAGCACTAGTGTTCTCATGTATCACTAAAATAAAAACTAGAAAACTGAATAAACAATTCAGTTTTTGCATACATATTGAAGCCCTATTCCTCTACTCACAATCACCACCTCCGGTAGCTCGCCGTGATCGTATAGTGGTTAGTACTCTGCGTTGTGGCCGCAGCAACCCCGGTTCGAATCCGGGTCACGGCAGGGATAAGTCCCTATCACGGCTTAGGAGTGTGATTTTTTTCCCTCTATTGTTAGTTTCACTTTGTCATGCCTCATTTTACTAAAAAATTATAAAGACAAAACGTATTAATTCACAAAATGTGCATTTCAAGAGCACACTTTTCGCAGTCAGATGTGATCGACGACCATAGACTGTAAAATATAGGTGACGACATGCATGTTCCGAGGAGATCGTCCAACTGCAAGGCTTGTAAATATCACGAGGGGTTGTTCCTCCCACAGAGGCTAATGGTGATTTGGTAGCGAGAATCACGTGGGCTTACAGTAGGATGAGACTCGGTGGCGCGATGTTTCTGCTATTTGATTATGTAGTTCCATAGAGCAGATATTAACACGGTTCATTTCCGCGTTCACCAGCTCCAAGAGGAGAGTTATATGTAACATAGAGAGCGAATTTTCAAACGCGGGAAATAATCACATTTCTAGGATATTCCACAACTCATCACAAAGTAAGTACAGGCGTATCAAGCCAAATCGATTGTATTATGTTATTGCCACGTTATCTGGTGCAAACATGTACCTTTAGATTAGGAGTTAGTTTTTGTGATGCTACCATTTATAAATTTTGTCTCATAAATGTTTTTTTCCCCGTTCTTCCACCTTTCCAGATGTTGAAGGAAGCAGAAACTATAAATCATCCCTATTGGCCACGCAACCTGTCTATTCCCAACTATGTGGCTAATGATCGTTCAATGTCAGAGATTCTCATATTCCTGTTCTCTGTGTCTGGGATACTGCTGCTTGCCACCTGGTCATTGACTGGGCGTAAGGTGTCTGGGAGCAGGCTTAGCGGAGGGAGAAGGTTAGCTCTGTGCTGGTTCACTGTGTGCGGCTTCATCCACGGGGTCATCGAGGGATGGTTCTCTTTATACTACACTATCATTCCTGAAGACCAGAGTTTCCTTTCTCAACTGTGTGAGTGAGGTTCATTTGAACCTTTTGAAACCTAAGTCTATTTGACTTAGTTTATCATTAGTATGTTTTGAGATAATAGTTTGATACTTTTCTCCCTTAATGTCCCATGAACATTATCATTACAAAGACCTAAATTTTTCATGCACAGTCCAAGAATTGTGAACATAAGCTGAGTTCAAGTCCCCTCCTGGGAAGTTCGTATTTACGAGTTGTGAAGTCCTAATGCTGTCTTTACATGCTATCGGAAATGTCCTACTTCCCACGAGCTCGTCATGTTCAAGTGCCCTGATGTCGGAAAGACTAGGAATCATGGAGGACACCAGGTTTATTCTTGCCTATTTCTTGGGGAAATCTTATTAAAGCCAACATTTTTTTGAAGATATTTAATTCTTAATAAAATGTAGCGTCCCATTCGTTGACAGTGGTACAAACATTCACTACGCTTTCTAGATAGTCAGCTTGACCACATTTTGGAATTTAGGTTAAGTACAGGCTATTTTCACTGTGTATAAAACATACAATATGCTTCAAACGATTATTCATATATATATATATATATATATGCACTATTTTAATGTCAAGACAAGTTAATGTAGCTAAAGAATCGCAGTCACAGCATCAATCTTTCTCCCCTCCCCATGTTTAACGTCCGTCTAACTTGGGAACTTGGGTATCAAATTGGTCTCAGAGATTCCCAGTGGTAAATACAACTTGATTTACTAGAAAACTAGGATTTGCTTCTAGAAAACAAATTTTTACGATAGCACGTAAAGGTGACGTAATTACGACGTTAGGTGTTGGTCGGAGCAAGATGGTATAAAGCTCGTTTCCGCCACTGAATAAAAAATAAAAAAGGTAATTGCAACTTTTTTTCTCACAATTGTGAGATATAAACACAATTCTGACTTCTTTTCTTACAATTGTGAGTTATACGTAAACTCACAATTGTGAGAAAAGTTAAATTTTATATCTCGCAATTCTGACTTTTATTGCGAGATAAAAAGTTGCAATTACTTTTTATTTTTATTTATTCTGTGGCGGAAACAAGCTTCCATAAAATGACGATGTACCCTTTCTACAATTTTTTTTAATTTTAAATCTTTAATTTATAGAAGTGCTGCAAATTGAATCATTGTATTCTATCATAATTATAGAATTTATAATTATAAATATATGTTGTATTTTGTACATAAAATTCGATAGTTTTATTGTAAATTAACAAAAAGTAATTTTTACAACAAATTTACCTAAGACGCTGCAAATATTGCATCCAGTTTGCAGTCTCCCACTCACATTATTTATACGTTTGAATACCGAAATTGCTTTTTCATCCTATATAGGGAAAGAATATTCCAAAGGAGACAGCAGATATGCAATGTAAGTTACACACGTTTGTAGGTTTAGGCATTAAAAATGAGTCTATAGATTGCATTATAGCTAAACTTCTTTTATGGGATCTTCTTTTCAGAGCGGATAATTTCACAGTTAGTATGGAGACAGTGACCGCGTGCCTGTGGGGTCCTTTCAGCATATGGATTGTTCTGGCCTTCCTTTATAACAGTTCTTATAGATTTGTCCTGCAGCTCATCGTATCTCTAGGTAAGACATGTGTCATCCTACTGCATATGGAATTGTAAATATTTATGATATAGTTATTTATTCCACATCTTGTCAACTTGAGAAACAATGTGTTTTAGAGGGAACAATTCAGTAATGTCCAACATTACTTGCAGGTCAGCTGTATGGTGCAGTCCTCTACTTCTTCACTGAACACAGAGATGGATATATTCACAGCGAATATGGTCACCCCATCTATTTCTGGTTCTACTTTGTGTTTATGAATATTTTGTGGATTGTCATCCCTCTCATTCTTATAGCAGACTCGTGGTGTCAGCTATCTACCTGTCAATCCATGTTTGATAAAGCAGCACAAAAAGGGAAGTCTAAAAGAAGCTAGACCAGTAGAAAATAGAAGGAATATGGAAAAGAAAAGAACTGAAATTCTGTACAGTTCTTCATAACATATACAATATGTTGAGATATATTTTAATAATGTAATTTTATAATATTACAGCGATTCGCTCATAGAAGAAAATTGAAAAAGCTTGAAGTGTAATGTGTCATATTCATTACATTAATGAAAATATGATGTTGATTAAATGCTCATAATACCAACAGGATTGTGTCATATTTATCTCTGTTGCTCTATATCGATTCTCTCTGCCCGGGTGACTTTATGTTCTAATAAGCTGATCCAATTCTGCTCATATCACTGTCACCTGGCTGGTCACTTTTCAAGAGCCACACACAATGAGAGCGGGTGCCTAAAATAAGGGGTACAGCTTTTTATCATTCTACAATGGACAATTTAATCTTCTTTGAATATGTGCATTTTGTATTTAAAATGAAAGTCACTTCACCAAACAGTGTTTGTCTCTGAGCTCTAAAAACGAAGCTTGATCTGGTCTTTATAAGAACTTCTATATTTTTCTAATTCTGTCTTGCTTGGCTTAGTGAGCATTTCATGACATGGTGATTATATGGCAAATTTTTCCTTGATGTTAAATCATTTGATTTTATTATATACCCATCAATTAATGCACAATTGCCTTGTGTTGGCTTTGTGGAGATTTATATAGGTCCTTCTAAAAAAAAATTAGCATATTGTGATAAAGTTAATTATTTTCCATAATGTAATGATAAAAATTAAACTTTCATATATTTTAGAGTCATTGCACACCAACTGAAATATTTCAGGTCTTTTATTGTTTTAATACTGATGATTTTGGCATACAGCTCATGAAAACCCAAAATTCCTGTCTCAAAAAATTAGCATATCATGAAAAGGGTCTCTAAACGAGCTATTAACCTAATTATCTGAATCAACTAATTAACTCTAAACACCTGCAAAAGATTCCTGAGGCTTTTAAAAACTCCCAGCCTGTTTCATTACTCAAAACCGCAATCATGGGTAAGACTGCCGACCTGACTGCTGTCCAGAAGGCCATCATTGACACCCTCAAGCAAGAGGGTAAGACAGAAAGAAATTTCTGAACAAATAGGCTGTTCCCAGAGTGCTGTATCAAGGCACCTCAGTGGGAAGTCTGTGGGAAGGAAAAGGTGTGGCAAAAAACGCTGCACAACGAGAAGCGGTGACCGGACCCTGAGGAAGATTGTGGAGAAGGACCGATTCCAGACCTTGGGGGACCTGCGGAAGCAGTGGACTGAGTCTGGACTAGAAACATCCAGAGCCACCGTGCACAGGCGTGTGCAGGAAATGGGCTACAGGTGCCGCATTCCCCAGGTCAAGCCACTTTTGAACCAGAAACAGCGGCAGAAGCGCCTGACCTGGGCTACAGAGAAGCAGCACTGGACTGTTGCTCAGTTTTGCATGTCATTCGGAAATCAAGGTGCCAGAGTCTGGAGGAAGACTGGGGAGAAGGAAATGCCAAAATGCCTGAAGTCCAGTGTCAAGTACCCACCGTCAGTGATGGTCTGGGGTGCCATGTATGCCATATATGAAAGTTTAATTTTTATCATTACATTATGGAAAATAATGAACTTTATCACAATATGCTAATTTTTTTAGAAGGACCTGTGTATATATATATATATATATATATATACACTATCGTTCAAAAGTTTGGGGTCGGTACGATTTTAAATACTTTTAAAATAATTCTCTTCTGCTAACCATGGCTGCGCTTATTTGATTAAAAATACAACAAAAACCAGTTATAGTATTAAATATTATTCCTGTGTAAATCAGCTGTTTTCTGTGTGAATATATAGTAAAGTGTAATTTATTCCTGTGATCAAAGCTGAATTTTCAGCATCACCAGTGTCAGTGTCTTCAGTGTCAAATGATCCTTCACAAATCAGTATAATATGAGGATTTGATGCTCAAGAAACATTTATTATTATTATCAATGTTGAAACAGTTGTTGGTCTGTCAGTTGTACATTTTTTTTTTTTTTTTTTTTTAGGATTCTTTGATGAATAGGAAGTTCAAAAGACTTTTGTAACATTATAAATGTCTTTACTGTCACTTTCGATCAAATTAATTATTCCTTGATAAATAAAAGTATTAATTTCTTTCCTCCAAAAAATAAAAATAAAATTCTCACTAACCCCAAGCTTTTGAACGGTAGTGTATATATATATAAAACACTACATAAGAGTTTGTAGAATAATGATGAAATAATATGATTTTTTTAAGAATCAAAATGCCGAAACCCGGGATCGAACCAGGGACCTTTAGATCTTCAGTCTAACGCTCTCCCAACTGAGCTATTTCGGCTGTGAGGACCCCTACTGGACTGGAGCCATAATTTTTTGACAGTTACTAGTCCTCATTTTTAATACTATTCAGAAACACACCATTCATTTTCATTCCCAAAAGACAATTTTAGAAATGAAATCATGTATGGCATTTAATTCACATGTCCTACTCCTAGGAGGACTTGATCTTCAAGATCAAGACGACACAGTCATTTAAAATTATACAAAATAACACAAAGTGAAAAATAAGTGGTATTATGGGGTTACGGAAACACCAGGCAGTTACCATGATAAATACACAATAGTAACATAACATGGACAGATAATGAAACATATAGCTAGTTAAGTAATATACAGGCCGCTCCTCCGCATTTGCGCGAGCATGACAGGACAGGAAAGTTCGTTTTTCTGAAGTGAGAGACTTTATTTATTTCGTAACATCAAGTTACGGAAATAACGTTATAATAATGACACTGACATATAGTCTGACAACATCTTATTCTGACCGCAGTTACTCAATAAGGACAACGAGTTTTTCTAAGGCATTTACTTAAATGGAGACTGACATAAAAGTCAACAGCTTTCACTCACGTCATTCAAAATAAAAGTCTTGATTCAGAAAAAAAAAATTGTTTCCTTGACTGCACCATTCTCTGACTGCCCACTCCGCGACCCATTCAAAACCATAGACATAATAAATTTGCAACAAGCAAAGAAATCTACTGGTGGTTTTCTATCGCCCTCTACAGGAAAAGCGAGGGGCGAACTTATACATTATAGTTTTACTCTGAGCTTAACACAAGAGGTCGCTCTTTCATAATGTTTGAAACAGCCCTCAAAAGTGAGCTGCATTGAATCATAAATTCCTATCAGGAATTACTAAGGGTTTAGGTTCATTTTGTCACCTTTCCCGCTTAAGATTAAAAAAATTATAATTCTACTTGGCAAAATGTGTGATAATATTAAAAAAGAATTGCATCAAGTAGGCTATTGGTGTATTTGTATAAATGTTTTTGACAAAGTGTAGCTTTTTCTTTTAGCAATGTATATAGAGTGCTGCCAGGGGTGACGTATTTTTGTAGGTCAAAATCCAAAACTTAGTTAACATTTTAGTATTTCCGGTTCCATTGTCCTGAAGGTTTTTGGTCAAATGCCTGAAATAAGGTCTTGAAGGTATGTGAAAGATATTTTCACGTTTTATTCTACCGCATAAAATACATCAGTAATATCCCTTGTGATGTTATAAAAAGCTTTAATTGTCTTGAAAAAGGCAGTCGCTAACAAGTGGCTAAATGGGACTGCATGGGTTGCCGGGGACATTAAACGTTATCACGGCGAAAAGGAAAAATTCACTAGTCCACTTTCACAGTTTATAATCATGTTCTTCCAAACTATTCCAATTTAAACTTTCAGAGAAAATGGTTTTAAATCAAGACCGAAAGAGTTGTGGCTTTTACCTCTGCCAATTACATTCAGGCTTCAATTCATAAAAACATTGTGCTCATTTTTATGAAGAACAGGGGTCTCATTTATAAAGCGTGCGTACGCACAAAACGGGGCCTGAAACGTACGTACGCCAGTTTCCACGCAAAGGCGGTGATCTATAAAAAACAAACTTGACGGGAGAATGTGCGCACCTTTAAGCAAACTTTGAGCCGTGCGTACGCACGTTTTGGAGACGGAGCAGTTTGGCGACACCGATGGTGAGCTGGAGCTAAATGTCTTTTTGGTCACTTTTAGACCGAAATCTAAAGAAAATTATACATACAGTATACAGAAAGATAATACAAATATAATTCCACTCACCAAGCCTATCACATGAAGCAAACATCCATCCCTTTTTAAATGTCCATCCCTTTGTTAAATATCCACCCCTTTGTTCTTTCGTGAAACTGACGCAACCTATCTAAAACTGTAAATCTTTATTATAATCATAAATACAGTGTTCTGTGAAATATGTTCACAATAACAGTTTAAATAAATAAAACTATGTTTTACTTCTGATATAAACATATAGATTAAATATGCAATTCTGATTAATGGAGTTAGACATTTAAATTACATTAAATCATTACTGAGAAGTTACAACATTTTTTTATATTCAATAAATAAATATTTATATTATTTTATATTATTTATATATGTTGTGGATGCAATGCTTTCAAACACTTTTCCTCTGGCATGCTGTGTTTTAATGTTTTAACTACAGAGATAATTGCTTATCATGATAATAGCAGATTGTCTGAGAAAATAGTTTCGTGCAAATAACGCACTACAAGGTCTATCTGTTTCCATTAAAAATATAAATCAATTAAAAATACTCTTTGGCCAGTGGAAAAGATTGAGAAAAACTTTCTCTGAAATGTATTTTACACTATTTGATTTATTTATTCAAAAACAAGGCAAGGATATAGGCTACTAAATTATTTTTTATTAATGTAACTAATGTGACGGCACATCCGTATTTCATATTTTCCAAATGTCTTGTACCGTTAAACATGTTATCACGTGGATGAATAATCATATGCAAATGATATGCAGAAGAGGATATGCATAGTAAAACTAGGTGTTGTAAGCTCCATATATGGTTGTTTCGGGGAGGAGACGCATGTGCGCACATTCTTCCGCTGACTGGGATTTATAAAGTGAATTCTGCGCAGGTTCTGGCGTACGCACGGTTTTATAAGTCAGAATATTTGTTTGCGTACGCCATTTTTGGCTTTCGGACGCACGTACACTTTTAGTAAGGATTCTACGGACAGTTTTATAAATGAGACCCCAGATGTTTAAAAAACAGAGAGAGAGAGAGAGCTTAGTACAGACTGCAGGCCTTTCAGTTTGCATTCAAAAAATGTTAACATTTAATCTCAATTAATGCCATGTCTTATTAGGTTGTTCCTTTAGAGTGTCTATGCAACATCTACATCAATTACTAAAAAATAAAGCATAAAAACAAAAACTTTTCGTCCCTGGGTGGGCTCGAACCACCAACCTTTCGGTTAACAGCCGAACGCGCTAACCGATTGCGCCACAGAGACTAGTGGTCATGGCCACTGGTATGTTTCAATAAGAAGAAACGTTTTCTGTCTAAAAGCCTGAAACACATATAAATCACACATTATGAAGATGAATTGCGCAAAAAGCAATTCTGAGGTCCCGAGTCCTTCATGGGAACGTTGGTCTGAGGTCCCGAGTCCTTCATGGGAACATTGCTTTGTAGTAGGTGTAGTTACACTGAACTTGACACTAGATGTCGCTCTTTAATAATGCATGAGGAATAAAATAACCACATAGTGGAATTCTAAGTTACATTTGTAACAACTTACATTTGTAACAACTTGCATGTCATGCCTGTCAGGCCTAATGCATGTTTAAAATCATGACTAACTGCCCAAGATACATACTATCAATTCATAACAGTGCATTATTGTACACTGAGTACTGCGAATTAAGAGTAAATGTTATTTAGGCTTTGTATTCAATGGTATAGCCATCTGTCTTTGAGGGTAAACGTGTATAAACTAAAATCAGTAATACTTTCAGATTCACTGAGATTATCTATTGGCTAGGAAGGATTACTAACTGCAGACCTACCTGATTGCACTCATTAAATGTAGAGAGACATCACTAATGAACCACTAGAAGGCGCAACAGTAAATTTCTGAAAAAGTGTTGTGAATAAATGTTGCTGTGTCAATGCAACATTTACACCAATTACTAAAAAATAAAGCATAAAAACAAAAGCTTTTCGTCCCTGGGTGGGCTCGAACCACCAACCTTTCGGTTAACAGCCGAACGCGCTAACCGATTGCGCCACAGAGACTGGTGTGTCCTTCTCGAATGATTCCACAAGAAGAACAACCAGAAAAAACATAGAATTATATATACATAAATGATATACCTTGTTTCAATACATACCACTTCTAGCAGGGGGCTTGCAGGGTTGCCAGTAAAGGTAGTTCAAATAGCTTTTATCTGTAAACAAAGAGAGTGAATTTATTTTTTTTATTTTTTCAGTCAAATAACCATAGCTCCTCATACCTCCAGAGAGTACTGTGGCCAGTTGCATAAACTGCTTTGACTAGTCTTAAAACTTAGGCATCTAATTTTTTTTCCATCAAGACTGGTCCTAACTTTGTAAAGTCAGTTACATAAAAAGGTAGATCGGTCTACTTTGAATTGAAAAATTAAGAATAATAACCCCTAATTACTAGTTGGTCATACAGTCTTAAAATAGAGGCTGAGTTTATGCAACTCTCCACTAAGCACATCATCTTAAGAAGTTTTATTTGCAATTTTTTTAATAGCAAACTTCATTTCAGCTCATATAACGACTTCTTTGCAATTAATGTGAACGTGTCTTCCAGGTTGGTTTGGGTATGTGTCAAATTATCACATCTTATTTTTTATCATTTAATTTACGAATAGGCCAAAAAGTTGTTTGTTCGGGTGTTCTTTTATTGATGGTCTTATATACAGCGAATTAATTAGTTAAGTATTATTAAGTAATATTTGTTAAACCAAACTCTTAAACTCGTAATAACTGAAACAAACAACAATGGCTCAACACATGGCGAGTGTGGCGGTGAAGTAGCTGCTACATGTTGACTGACTCTGAAAAGGGCGGCGACGGGGTCTGGAAAACGTGTTTGGAAACCGTCATTATTTCCAATCCCCTTTAGTCATTTTCCAATTGGGGGTGGTAGTGGCGAAGAAATTATGCCACTTTAAACATTATGAGGAAATGAAATGAGAAATGATAACACTGCAAATAAAAATAAATAAAAAACAACAACATGAGGTGTATGTATTAATGTATTTTGTTTTATGCCGTTTACGCTTATTAAAACAGTTTCTATTTGTCATTGAGAATACATCCTCAGGACATGCAGAACGTTTTCTTGTCATCGGGTATTGGTTCATTTCCGACATTTCAAAGTTTACTGTCCGTGCTGGGCCGCCATTACAATCGTATATTAATACTCTATCTATATTAATAACAACTTTCCCTGAAATGCTATTATGTCTAGACTATTACTTACTCTATTACTTGTCACATTGTAGCTGAGTTTTTTTTAGTTTTTTAGTTATACAACCAGTTCTCGTCACACACGTCACCACAGAGCAACATCACTGTAATAACCGAATTAATAGATTGTTGTTGTTGTTTTACACTTAGTTGGGGTACAAGAATCTTACCTCTCCAATTATCTTTTGCTTTGCAGAGATTACAAACGTAGTTATTCTTCTGGTTTTATTCGTTGTCATCTGGATCTGTCTAATGTGAACGTAGCGAGGAGGCGTCGTGTGATTGGCCGCCTCCACCTGAAGAATGTGATGTCATTGGCTACGCAATTACGGTAACTCGTTAAAAACGCTTTTAAATTTTATAGTCATAAGAAAAATAAAATAATAGAGTATAGCCTAATTTTTGTATTATAATATAATTTGAAATTATTCTGCAAATCTTAAAATGATTAAAAACAAAAGATTCAATGATTGCATTATATATCATTATATTATCTTAAATATTCTAATGACATTTTGTTTGAAATGGGTAATGCTATGCCTTATGTTTGTTAATAAAAAAAACTATTAGCAATAAAAAACAGATTTTTTTATAAATCACATTGTTTAATGTCATTTTATGTAAGAATGAGTTATACTTGGCATTTTATCATTTTCTACAGCAGTTATAAATCCAGAATAAAAAAAAAAACATTTGTTTAGAACAAAACATCAAAGCAGTATATTCTTATTTTACAAAAATAAACAAAAAGAATTTAAGTACATTCAGTAAATGTCTTAAGTAGCCTCATGACTTTCAAGTTTATGTAGATTTCAACATTAACAAATTACAACATTGAACATTTAAGATAGTATATCCATACAGTAAAGAAGTTTTAAAAACTAAAATTGGGCTGCAAGGAAGGACCAAAAACATAACTTATGGGCACTTTACAGTAATCAGTTTCACAATATAATTTTTATAATTCTGTTTTCTGTATTTGCTAACTTTCAGTTATTTCCTAGTTAAACATCTTGCTCAGCCTTTGACCAAGTTTACTGTTTAGGTCTTTTAATTGGGAGTTCACTTGTTTCAGAGCAGTACGAGCTGATGCAGAATCCGGTTGGAGTTCAAGAATCTTTCCAAAGGCCATGCGGGATTCCTCCAGTTCGCCCAGCTGCATGCAAGCTTGCCCAAGCCGGTACCAGGCTTTAGTGCTCTTTGGGTTCAGCTCGGTGGCCTTGGTACTGCTGTCTCTGGATTTACCAAGCTGGCCTAACTTAAGTTGGCATAAAGAGAGATTGCAGTGAAGCTCTGCTTTTACATTTTTGTACTCTTCCTCAGTTGGAATGGAGGAATCATCAGCACTTTCTGCCAGCTCATTTTCTTTATCATAGCATGGTGTCAAAGCTGCATCATTATCATCTCCATCCACACCTTCTTTAGACGTCTCGTCTACTGGGTTTCCTCTTGTCTGGCCGTTTAAAGTTATTGCCAGCTTTACAGCTCTGCAATAGCAGTCTGCCGCACCCCAGATATCTCCCTTCCCAAACCGTTGACCACCCCTCTGCTTGTGAGACAGCACCCAAGCCCACTTTTCTCCAGGTGTCATCTGCCAAGACTCCTGCCCAGGGGTTAAAGAGTGAAGCTGAAGAGTAAAGCAGTCGGCCTGCTGTAACAATCCTTGCCCTGTTGTATTTTCAATCTGGGTACCATTAGCATCACCGCATGCTGCTTTGGAGTTCTTTGTATTCCAGGCACTTATTGTGAACTGCAATAAAAAAAAAATGTTTATAGATGAGAACATCACATTTTCTCATGATAAACATAATATATAATAGCTGACATGAAACGGAAGTTGCAATAGTCTTTGCTTCACTATTGTGATGTATATCTAGAGATGCACCGGTCGACCGGCCATCGATCGGAACCGGATGGTTTTTACTCTAAACACTCGAAGACTCGATTTTGTTTTATTTTGGCCGATCTCTGTTCTGGGCTTGCACACAAACTGCATTGGAATAATTTCCCAAAATGTAATTTGTGTGGAAATACTATGAACTGTTATATCTGTGAACTGTGAAATCTGTTAACACAGGCCAGAGATAGAAAATGCTGAAAACGGACACAAAGAGCACAGACGCGTCAGCAGAGAAAAAAACTGTACCAGGCACAGCAAGCTCATTGTTTGCGATGTTTAAAATATTTTGAATTGGGTGTGGAGTTCATATGAATGTATCTCTGAAGGCTGAATTTCGATTGCATTTTCTTTTCCACTACCTCCGTATAAATGCGTATTAAAGTAGTTTATAAGCACCACCCACTGTCAGAGAGTGAATTAGCATTTTCATTCAGTCTGTCTGCTGTTGTTTTGTGTAGGTTTTTTTTATGTAGCATCATTTCAGAAATCTAAAGTCAGACCACTCTTTTTTTTTCTTTAAATCTTGAAATTATACAATCTAATTTAAATCAAAAACAACTGCTCATGCTACCTGTGTGCAGCATCTTTGTTTGGAGCGTGATTAAAATGCAGTGGTTGCCTCTAATTACAAATGGATACAGTTTGGCCCAAAAAACTACAAATAAATTAGCTTATTCAAAGAAAGAAAGAAAATCAGCATCCGGTATCGGAATCAGAATCGGCCAAGAAAAATCATGATGGTGCATCCCTACTTATATCTGAGTGAAACGGTTTCTGGAAGAAAAAAAAAACTAGGGCAGGACTTGATTTCATCCTCGGGAGTTTATTGGATCATAGGTAGTTGGGCGTTGCTAACTATATGGACGCTTTTCTGAATGCCAGTTTGCAGTCCTTTGTGGAGGATAAATGGGTCATTCCATGTCAAATCAAACAAATTTTGGAAACTTTTTGTTAGTATTTTTTCTGGAGAAAGACAAACACAAATAGTGATGAAAGCCAAAATATTAAATGTCATGAATGTATATTGACAGAGTAATCCACTATTTTATAGAGGGGGTCAAAAAATGACAATTTTCCCCTGGGTTTTGGAGCCAAATTACAGGGGGGTAAAAATGATGTTAGAAAGATGGCAGCATCAATATTTTATTTTTACGCAGAGATTGGTAGGTCTATTAGTTAAATCTGTTTACTTTAGCAATCTTTGTTGCATAATGGTGACTGTTCAAAAATAACTTTTGTCTTTTGCCCCAAGTTTGCATGACTGTAACTCAATAAGTATTGAAGCTATCTTAATATCCTTTTAGATTGTGGTTTTTAACAAACTTTTCTTTTAAAACTTAATTTTCAAGGCCCTTTGTGGCTCAATCCCATAGATATGGGGACCCATTTTCAATGGTCAAAACCAAATGTGATTCACTTTGCACACAGCTGATACTTATAGTATTTAAAGAGGAATGTCTGAAATAAATTATGTTGAAACTAGAAATGTATCTTGTTTCCATCTTTCAAAATAATTACATACAACATCCCACTCTGAGTGCCAAAAATACACTGAAATGGTCAAGTTTAGAAATGGCACATTAACTTGCTTCTCTCAAATGTGTATTTATAAGAATTTGTATTTGAATCCGTTTCAGGGATATATTTGGAAGAAGGGATTTTTTCATGAAGCTTCTGAAGCTACTAAGAGTTCAAATATACAGTATCATAACTACATGTTACCACATTGACATCCCAATATCTCTGGGATTGAAACAAATAGAGGCTTAAAAATTAAGATTCCAAAAGAAAAAGATTCTAAAATTATATTAAGATATATTTAATACTTCTTGAGTTACAGACATGTAAACCTCAGAAAAAAATATGTTTTTTTGGCACTCAGAGAGGTATGTTGTATGCAATTAATTTGATTTGAGGGAAACAAGATACATTTTTAGTTTCAACATTATTTGTTGTTCAGATATTACTCTTTAAAAGAAAACAGTATCAGATGTATGCAAAGTGACCCACATTTGGTTTTTGACCATTGAAAATGTGTAGAATTTACTCATGGAGCTGCATTAGGATCTCCATATCTCTGGGACTGAACTATATAGGGCATTTAAAATGAGGATACTAAAAGAAAAGTTTGTTAAGATCCAGGATCTAAGAGGATATTAAGATATATTTAAAAGCTTTTTGAGTTACATGCATGCAAACTCACCATTGGCATAATACAACAAAGATTGCTAAAGTAAACAGATTTAACTAATAGACCTACCAATCTCAGCGAAAAAAATAAAATAATAATATATTCAACAATACATGTCACTTTACAGTAAAATATTGTTAAAATTGTGTTTTAGTATAAGTGAATATTTTTGATTTGCCTTACCTCACACATCTCTCCAGCCCTCATCCCTTCCAGGCAGCCCTCAGTAATGTCACACTGTCCTTCGCCCATGCGCAACACGAACCACTCATCCAGTTGGACCTGCAGTATAGAGTCCTGCGAGCGGGGATATGAGGAGGCTTGCTCGCTAGAATCAACGCTAGCTGTTGATTCTTGCTCTTGAGAAGCAGTATGCAGTGTGTTTTCCCCTGTAACAGTCTTTCGCCGCACCTTGACCTTACATAGTGACCCCATCATAGGCGTGCTGTCCCCTCGTTGTCTTTCTCTAAGCCACCTTCGGCGCACCTCCCACAGACCACCGGGACACGCGGAGATCCATGACGTCTCAGCGGGGAAATGATCAGGCACTTGGAATGTTGTCATGACGAAGAGTTCTAAAAGACCTAAAAATAACAATTATTATTTGATGGAATAAATAACTGCAGACTACAGGGAATGCTATCAGGAGACCTGTTAGCACTGTGATGCAAAGTCTTTTGCACTTATCTTAAACCTAGCGCATCAATAGCTTCAGGCATGCATGAGTATTTAAAACAGAACACGTTTATAATGACACATTAGTTAACTCTTTAGTTATTAGGAAACATTAGTGTACCTACTTTAGTGATGGTTGTTGCTGTCAGACTCTCTTTCTTCTTCCACAGCAAATATCTCACAATGAAAGCCTTCAATCGCCCTCTACAGGTGCGGCATGGAATGAACGTCTACTTTGTTTACACTTGTACTTTGAGTTTGACTTGTTTACACGGTTTCATAGACAAGGCTAATCCCAGACTAATGGGAAAATACATGTTTGAGCGGTTTTAACGGAAAGCAACTTGAAGTCTCATTGTTTTGTCTGAAGATGCACACCAGTAATTGTTTTTTTTTCCTAAGACATGTTTAAAAAAGCTACTTAAATAACTAAGGCCTAATCCTGACTTAATCTAAGCCCTGTCTGTGAAGCCAGACCCAGATGTCGTTATTTGGGGCCAAAAAGTATGACTGAACTGAACAGGACAACAGTTAAGATGACTGAACTGAACAGGTCAACAGTTAAGATGACTGAACTGAACAGGACAACAGTTAAGATGACAGAACTGAACAGGACAACAGTTAAGATGACAAAACTGAACAGGACGACAGTTAAGATGACAGAACAAGACGACAGTTAAGATGACTGAACTGAACAGGACGACAGTTAAGATGACTGAACTGAACAGGACGACAGTTAAGATGACTGAACTGAACAGGACGACAGTTAAGATGACTGAACTGAACAAGACGACAGTTAAGATGACTGAACAAGACGACAGTTAAGATGACTGAACAAGACGACAGTTAAGATGACTGAACTGAACAAGACGACAGTTAAGATGACTGAACAAGACGACAGTTAAGATGACTGAACAAGACGACAGTTAAGATGACTGAACAGGACAACAGTTAAGATGACTGAACAGGACAACAGTTAAGATGACTGAACTGAACAAGACGACAGTTAAGATGACTGAACAAGACGACAGTTAAGATGACTGAACAGGACAACAGTTAAGATGACTGAACTGAACAGGACGACAGTAGGCTATAGGACTACAGTTCAAGTACGGACGACAGAACAAGATGACAGGACGACAAAACAAATCGACATAAACAAAGAACATACACATCAATATACTAATTTTTCTGAAAAGGGAGGATCAATACAGTAAGGACGACAGATCAAATCGACATAAACAGAAAACACACACATCAACATATACCATTTTTTTCGAAAAACTAGACAATGACTGTTGACAAGGACAAATGTGTAGTACAAACAAAGCACAAAGCAGTCGACTCATTTTTGTTTAATGGAACCCCATAAAAAAGGATACAAGTTACTGCATGCAAAAGTTTGCATTAACCTGTGCTGGTAAAAATATGCCCTGATAAAATAACTTACAAGATAAAAAAATAGACAAAAAAGTAAGGTATAATACCATGCAATGATTAATGTACAAAAGCTTTATTTTGTTTTTTTATATTTAAAAGCTTTAGCTTTTTTGTTTGTTTATATATATATATATCCACTTTTTGAGTATCTGTGAGTATAATCTTTTCTGGAAACTTTACTTTAACTTCACTACATTTGAAAGACAAATGTCGTACTTTATACTACACTACATTTCGGTCAAGGTCCTCGAGTAGAAATTAGTAACGTCAGTCAGGGGATGATTTTGGTTGCAGGGGTTGCATTTTGGTTGGAAATGAAAGTCGGGTTGACGTCATAACCCGACGTCGGACAGACGTCGACTTTTGATTGGAAATGAAAGTCGGGTTGACATTAAAGGCAAAAAACTTTAAAGGGCACTATTTGAGGGAACAGCCATTTGGGTGTCTGAAACCATTGTGGACGTTATTGAGTGCACTTATTCAATCTCACATTCAATCCCACTACTGGAACTGTGTTCTAGAAATAAATTTGATATTGATATGAGGATAGGTAGGCAGGCATAGATTCAGAGGCATAAGGTAGCCTACTGTAAGTATTACATACAACAATGCAACAATAATAAAACAATGCATTGATATTTACTTTTTACTTTTGATATAGTAGCCTACTTTTAAAAACAAGTAGGCTACTTTTGTACTTTTACTTAAGTAAAAATCGGTCTTTACAACTTTTACTTGTAACGGAGTAATATTTGACCAGTATATCTGTACTTTCACTCAAGTAAGGAAGTTGTGTATAGACTACTTTGTCCACCTCTGTGTAAGAGTCTGTGCAACGAGCTTCACTTGTTCATAACAAAAAAAAGAAAAAGAAAGGAATGGCTGTTGTGACCAGAGGGGGCGCGCTTGATATCGTGTCTTCACGCTGAGCTGTTTCCTGGGTGCACACGCAGCGTCACGGTCATGCCGTCCACACTATGTGGCAGAGCGTGTGTGTGTGTGCGCGTGTATGTGAGAGAGGCAGGGTTGAGGTAGAGGCAGAGTTTCGGAGCACGTTCAGTTGACAGGCGTCGCCGTTGCTACTCGATTCCCGAAAACAACACAAGCAAATACACGGAGCTGTCGCGAGATACGCGCCTTTAACTGGATTAAGACGAGAAAAGCCGTTTTGGACGGACCGAGCTCAAGGCGGATGAGCGCAGCCCGCGGGAGGGCAAGAGTGTTTCTGCGGTGGGGTCCAGTTAGCGAAAGATGAACAAAAACCACCGAGTGCCGAGCAACCGAACTCTGAACGCCGTGGAGGTGAAGAGCAAGGTGCGTAGCCAGCGGGCCAATTACTAGCTAATTAGTGTTTAATCAAAGAATGACATATCTTTGTGTTAGGAATAGACTTAACAGTATATTTGGGTGTTAAGACACACTTACACTGTCCTGGTAAGTTTTGCCAACCTTGTGAGTTCAATCGACCGTTGCTTTAGGAGCCTACTATAAGGACATGGTATGTCCGTTGTTGGGGAGAATTTTAGTGTTTTGACAGGTGCTCTCTTATCTCATGTTGTCAGGTGTTTATTATATTGTAAATATAATGCCTCAAAGTTTTTATTTAGCCACAATATCTCCCAGTCTATGGCAAGCCGTTTAATAATTATTCATTAAACTAACTAGTTTACTATCTATGTTCCTGTTACTTATTTTAAGTACTGATAAGTAGGCCTAATTAAATATTTATTAGCATCAATTTTATTTCAAACTAATTATTATTCATTACATAGCACTTATTACTTTGCTTCTAGTCAAAATCCCAATAGTGACGAATAACTATTCGTGTTTGCTGATAAAAATTGCTGTTACCATTGAAATCTATTGGGATCTGTGGTTCAGATATCAAGTGCTCATGTCAGGCTGTGTAGGCTAGTAGTTCTTGCTGGACCCCGTTCCAGTTTTACTAGAGGCTATGAACTATGCCAGTATAAGACACAAGTATCTTTCTCAGTTGTTACTAGTACTAGTGACACTTCTTATCTCGTTTAAATATATATATATTATTACTTTTTTGTTGTCATATTTTTTAATGATGTTAATAATGAATGTCTCATTATGCAATTATGATTACTTTGTAGTTCTATTTAAAATGTTGCTAGTGCCAACTGGAATCCATGCTGAGTAATGACTAATAAACAGGTACTTGTGTCTATTCAAATAATACTAGAAAAACTGGAATAGATACTAGTACTACTATTATTAGAATAGTTACCAGTAACAAAAGAAAAGGTATCTAACTAATGCTTATTTCCTAGTAAAACCAGAATAAGTTGGAAATAAATAGGCCTATCTGAACCACAGATCCCCATTAAAATTCAGTGGAAATTTAATGCCAGTAACAATAGAATAGAGACTATTAGCAAAGACTTATTGAATAGATTCTAGTTCCTATTGGATTTAGTGCAGTTCATTTTTAAAAGTGCTAGTAACACAGGTAGATACTAGTTTGTTTTAAGTGCTAAAATGGCTTGTATAATGTATCAGTTTATCAAAAGTCTTTCTTGCTTCTAAACTTGTTTTCCCTTTGTCTTTTGGTAAACAAACTGATGATTTCCAACTTCACATCCACATGACAAGATCATGTTTGAGGAAATTAAATATTGACTGTTCTCAAGAAAAAACAAGTTAAATCAAATACCAAGCTGCACATGTGATAAATAAGATAACTGTTATTTATCTCACACAGTGTGTCTCAACTGTGACGTGAGAGCAGGTTGACAGGCATTATACATGCTTGAACAACAATACAGAATATATTTCTAACTTCATACCGCTGTAGTCTGATACCAAAATAAACCAAATATTGGTTTTGTCTCTCAAAACTAATAACATGTCTACATATAGGCTACAGGATTCTGGAAATTTGTCTAGACAGTTCAATCTCATTCATTGCTTTTTCTTGTTTATGTCCATGTTATTGTAGGTAGGGATAGTTGTTGACAATCACCACCAGAGGAATGTATGTGCTGTTTAGTAAATGTTTTTTCATGTCTTTCTTGTTAATCATTATGGATGACACTGTAAACAAGAGTCTGGTCATATTCACTCCACCAACACAAAGATTTACAGGGCTACTTTATAATGGACAAGCCATGCTTGGCTAGTGATGACGTTACAGCTGATTAAGTCTCAGTCCTTCCACTCACGTTATGTTTTTTTTTATTAGTCCTACCAAACCATTTCATAACTTAATAGTGAAATAATTTAAGGAGTCTAATTTTAATCATTTAATTTTTGCCTCAGATTTTTTGCCCATGATTTTCCTGGTTTATAAATAATTTATTTTTTAATTGATTTAAAAGAGTTATTTTTTTCATTGCTACTCATGTTGCTGTTCTATATTTAGTTCTCTGGTACTAAAATCTAATGCTTTCTTTCCCTTAAAGGGATAGGATAGCTCAACCAAAAATGAAGAATCTGTTGTAACTTATAAGCTAGCAAAAAGGGGGCATTTAAATAGTTCTTGTTGCTTTTTTCTAGTGATGCACCGAATGTTGGCACCATATCGTTTCTTGGCTGATAATAGCAATAGTTTAATTTATAGGTTTGGGATTTTTAATGGTCTCTGCCTATTTTAAGATTTAGATCATCGTCTAAAACTAATTTAAAGAGATAGGCTATCTCTGGAAAAGCGCTTTCCCGTTAAGAGCGCATGTTGGAGTGAGTTGCAGAAGTAATAGTTTTCAGTGTGTTTTCATTTGCTTTTCTAAACAAAGTAGTATACATTTTTTATATCAGACATTTATCGATTATAGCTATATTTATCAATTACAATGAATGGCAACTGGAGCTTTCAAGTTTTAAAGAGGAAGGAAAAATAACAGAATCATAACAGAAGTTTATTTAGCAATATTTATTAGTGAAATTTTACATTTCTGTCAGACTGTCACTCAAATCATACTTCAGAGGACTTGGAAGTTTCTGTAGTTATACAATGAAAACTTTGTAAAATGTTTGTTGTTGTACTTATTGTTTTACTATGTCATTTGTGTACACGTACGTACTGATGTCTTTTCAATGTTGTTAGTTTGGAGCAGAATTCAGGCGGTTCTCTTTGGACCGGTCCAAGCCGGGACGCTTTGATGAGTTCTATGGCTTGCTGCAGCATGTGCATCGGATCCCTAACGTCGACCTGCTTGTGGGTTACGCCGATGTACATGGGGACCTGCTGCCAATCAACAATGATGACAACTACCATAAAGCAATGTCCGTGGCAGCACCCCTGCTCCGTCTCTTCTTGCAGCGGAAAGGTGAGGGTTTTTTTTTTTTTAAGTGAGTTATTGGTCAAACTTCAACACTCATAGTTGTAGTTAAAGGAGAACTCCGGCGCAAAATGAACCTTTGGTCTAATAAAACATTGGTACCTAGTCAACCGTTCTCTGAGATTTGTTTTCATGATAATTGAATGTAAAGAGTTTTATCTCTAAAAACTGTTTAGCGTATAACGCTAGTAATGGGGGCATTTAATAAGTAAAAAGAAATCGCGAGTTAATACCACTAACAAGGCTTAAAATAGCCCCACACTAACACAGTAACATAATGAGGGTCCCTACATGCAAAACGAAGCATTGAGAACTTTGTATGTGTACAGACCGTTTAATAAGAAGATATGTTATAAAGACAGTCCACTTCGTGTATAGAGCTGGTAAGTCCTGCCCCTTCCGCTTACCCCGCTGGACCTCTAGGTTGAAAAATCGTCAATGCAAGTGAATGAGAGAAAATAATTATTTTCTAATCCCGCTTGAATTTTGCATTGAATGTGAACATATGTTATCTGTGAATTTTTTATATAATTTTTCGTGTAAAGAATGCTACAATTTAGCGGGTAGAATTTTCATACGGTTAAACTTTGTGTGAGAGCACTTTGTGGACTACAACTCTTCGCTGCGTTTGATATACGTCACCACCACTAGCACACGGATCCCGCTAAACAGCCTGTTTTGTTTGAATGGTGACATTTGGGTACAAAACACACAGGCATCTCGATCTAATTCCTTAGATTATCGCACCGTGATTTGTGGAGGGAAAATGTGTTATGCGGTGACGTCACATATGCGACGTGTAGTCTTTCTCGTTATGTCTATTCCACAACTGCTAGCCAAAGAATTATACAATATACTGTCAAACTCGTTACATGAGAAATTATATAAAAAATTCACAGACAACATATGTTCACATTCATGGCACAATTCAAACGGGATCAGAAAATAATTATTTTCTCTCATTCACTTGCATTGACGCTTTTTCAACCTAGAGGTCCACTTGGAGTTTTACGGATGGGCGGGACTTACCAGCTCTATACAGACAGGAGCCATCTTTGGAAAACAGTCTCGACTAATCAAACCACGAACGACGTGCTAAGTGAGCTGAACTGTATGAAGTTCAGTGAACTTCTGAACTGTATGAATGGCGTTCGTGGTTTGACTAGTCGAGACTGTTTTCCAAAGATGGCTCCTGTCTGTATACACGAAGTGGACTGTCTTTATAACATATCTTCTTATTAAACGGTCTGTACACTTACAAAGTTCTCAATACTTCGTTTTGCATGTAGGGACCCTCATTATGTTACTGTGTTAGTGTGGGGCTATTTTGAGCCTTGTTAGTGGTATTAACTAGCGATTTCTTTTTACTTATTAAATGCCCCCATTACTAGCGTTATACGCTAAACAGTTTTTAGAGATAAAACTCTTTACATTCGATTATCATGAAAACAAATTTCAGAGAACGGTTGACTAGGTACCAATGTTTTATTAGACCAAAGGTTCATTTTGCGCCGGAGTTCTCCTTTAATTTGTCCATCTGTATGATGAGAATTTATAATTTCCTTTAGATTCCCTTATGGTCATAACACTCACAGTTGTAGTTCATTTGTCCATCTGTATGATTTATATGTATAGTTGAATAGTATGCACAAATTTGTTTCAACTGATAATAAATGTGGAGGCAGTAGCTGTGCTTCAAGAAGCTGTCGGACCAGAAGTGGTGCTTTTGTTTATATATCAGTTATATCAGATTATAATGTGACAGGTTATGTTGTTCTAAGGGAAGCGAGTATATCTGTGTGGTAACTTGGTTGCTAGCTGGGTTAAGTCTCATTCCATCCAGATAAATTCTCTTTGTCAACACAGGTGAATTTAAATATTCTTTGTTTATCTTTCCCAAATGTTTATCATTGCTTATTATTGATATTGTATCTTAAAGTTATTTACTTTTCTACGATTATGATATTTAAGACATTTCGCAAGGCTTATTATATTGCATAATCTTCCTTTAGGCCTATTTGTTTTTCTTAAACTAATGTGGCCGAGTGTTTCTTAATTTGGGTTAAAAGTCTTCAGACTTCTAGACTTTGAACCCTTGGCTAAGCTTATTTGAAAGGAACAATATAAAGTTAAAGTAACACAGGTCACAGTTGTTGTGTGGTTTTGGTGTGTTGTGGCTCCAGGCTGTGGGGTGCCCCATTTTAAGCTGTGTCTGTGTGCCATATGACCTGTAGATGGTAAGCCACTTTGTCAGGTGAAGATTAGAGGGGTCACTGTGTAACATTGTGTGGCCTGCGTTTCAATTACACGGCGACGCTAGCTTCATGCTGTGACCTGTTGCTATGGCAGAATATGTGTCACAGAAGCACATGCGGACCCACCCACTTTTTAACTCCACATAGGGAGTCCTATCTTGTCACATGTTTTAGTTCTTTGAGTGCATGTGTGTGTGTATGTAGTGGGTACGCAGACATTATTCCAAGTGTGATGTTTAATGTGGAAATTCTGAACATGGTAAACCAAGAACAATAACTATAACGATAATTATATTAGTGCTCATACCCACGGGCAATAATTGCTGCTTTAAATGCTTTAGCTCTTTAAAGTTAGGTTGATTTTTAAAATGATAGTTCACCCTAAAATGAAAATGAAGTCATCATTTACTCACCCTGGTGTTGTTCTAATGCTGTATGCCCTTCTTTCTTTTTCTGACCACAAAAGGAGAAATTTTAAAAGTTAAAAAAATGTCCTGCTCGTGCTCATCCGTATAATGGCAGTGAATAGTGGCCAGCATCAAGCCTTAAAAAAAGACACAAAAGTGTCACAGAATGATCCCTTGCATTACGTGGCATATATTCCAAGTGTTCTGGGGGTATACGATAAGGTTTAGTGAAAAAAACCCTGAAATTGAATGTATTATTTTAAAATCCTAAACTTGACCGTTGGTATTCTGTGCACAGCTACGCGACATGCTCGTTCATGAGACTCTGTTAGTGCCGCAGTTCACTCCGACTTGCCCAGATAAAGCACACGTTATGAGAAATAAAGACTAATAAAAACGTGACCACATCAGATCCAGAATTTTTTTTGCACTTTGTAGTGAGCCAGCACAAGGGCTTATGTTTGAAATCACATCAAGGTGCACAGTAAGACTGTCAAACTAACTGAAATCTTTTGTGCAGCGTCTTGCCTTCGTTGAATGGCACACATTCAGTGATCTGGGTTAAGATAGCCTTCGTTGTGGTTGGAGTTCACGTGGGGGATGGGGGGGACTGGAGCATTCTTGAGCGGTGCGCCTCGTCTGTGGATTGTGTTTGGAATTCTGGGTTTTGTTCTGTCGTAGCCTGTTTTGCATATTCAAGTGGCTCCAAATGAGGGTTTATGTGTTTCTATATGTGTCCCGTCCCAACACAGACATGCATGCTTTTTCAGACAACATCAGGATGACTACAATACACCAATCCCATGCTTGTTTACCTGCTGCCATGGCAGCAGTGAAAAGCCCAAGCTGATCGGGTTTAATGACAAGAGATTCTTGAGTGGTGATTGCATGCTGCTGGCATAGATATTAGATATTCAGGAATCAGGATTGTGGGGGACCGGACCAAATTTAATCATTTTAAGAATCAACCATTGAAAATGGCGAATCTCTGTCTGAATACTGAGTGGGACGTCCCTCCACCCTCAGTGTCTATGGTGGTTACGGCACTGTCTGTCTGTTGTGGATACATGTTTGCTGGCTTAAGGGGTGTTGCCACCTGTGTGTCTATTTGCATCATTGATTTCCTGATCAGACATCCTGCTCAGCTGCTATGTCATAATATTGGGTCTTACTCTTTGCTCTATATTTTATGTGCTCTACATTGTTACCAACTGATTTCAGGAAATAATCTCTGTTCCAAAACCTCCTCAGACAGTGTTTTAAGGCATTATAGGAATGCTCCTGATGTGAAATGTTCCTTCAATGTTATGCAGCCCTCTAAAATACCTAATTTTGGGCAGCATTGTTGCAGCAACCTCTTTTCTCAATAGTTCATTTAATACAGAAAGACAAAAAAAGCTTAATCTAATCACAACTGTTTTACCCAATGTGATATATTTATATGCTTATTAAGATCATGTTTATACACTAGAAAGTAAATTGTTAATGTAGTAAAAAAAAGTATTATGGGATGGCGACATGGCGTATTGGTTTACATAATAATAATAATAAACTTTATTTGATATAGCGCAAGGGACTTTGGTTGGTCTACTTGTAGATCTACTTGAATTGCCAAAATATAAAAATAAATTTACTCACTTGAAGCTAAAATTTCAAGTATGGGTTACCATACTTGGCCTTCACATGTCACTTTCACATACAATGCAGTGCATTTTACAATTTACAGTTAACCAATCAACAGGTATTTTTCTGGAAAATTTTATATAGAGTAGCTTAGTAGCCAGCCGGATAGAAAAGGGGAATGCAACATATGCATTGCATAAGTATCAAAAACATATCCTGCTCAATCTCCACACCTACACCACCTTCCTTTGGCATTTGGCATCACCCTAAAATTGCATTGTTGCACCCTTTTAGCAACATCAGGGCTCGAATTTCGGCGCGGGATTGCGGGTATTGCGCATAATTCTAATCATTCCCGCAGGTCTCCCATTTATAATGCGGGAAATTCCCGCAATCGTAATCCACACAGATAATAAAATAAAATCATTCTTTTAACAACTATCTTCCAGACACAATTTCACAAACAGCGTGAGTGTTCAGCGGTGCCGCGCGTCTTCTATCTCTTCTCATAATGTGTTGTGCAAGGCAGGCATCAAGCGCTGCGGCGATAATACACACTCGCGTTTAGGAGTCGGGAGTCTCGGGACGATAGACTGTAAGGTCGGGACATGACGGAATATTCACTTGCACAATCGGGCCAGCAGTGCATCGTGGCTGAAGTCTTTTTAAGTCTTACCAGTTTAAACATTAAAGCGATTTTAAA